TCAGAAGCACTCCAGAAGCTGTGTCCGTGCACCAGGAAGGAGTCCAAAGGAACCCAGAGGAGGATCCTGATGATGAAGTAGACCATCTCTACCCCACGAAAGAAGGGAAACAGAAGGAAAGCTCTTCAGCTCTCCCCAAGTGCCTCGGTTTTGGAGGTCACCACAAGAGGACCGACTGCAGATTCCGCTCCGCTATCTGTAGAGCATGGGGAAAACAGGGACACATTGCAGCTGTGTGTCTGGGCCGTCAGAAGGTACAACCTCGGGAAGAATTGTGCCTGAAAGGTACCAGGGTCCCCAGCCAAAACAGGGTGGGTTTCTGTGCTTCGCGAAGAAGCATTTATAGGACAGGCACACAAAAGCCCATTAAGAAAAAGCTGTCACTTAAAGTGAAGCTACAAGGGGTTTCATTGGCTATGGAACTGGATATGAGGTCTGCACTTTCAATCATTTCCATGCACACGTTTAGGAAGATTTGTTCTGGCAGCAGATTTCAGGCCAAGCTGAGGCCTTCCGACATTGTGTTAACAGACTTTCAAAACTCCAGAGTGTGTGTTAAGGGGGAGGCCACCCTTAACGTGCAGTATAAGGATTTTGAAGGTCCACTAGATGTAATAGTAGTAGGGGGTGAGCGAACGAGTCTCATAGGACTCGATTGGTTTGAAGCCTTGGGAATACACGTCACAGGGCTCAATAGCTTGCAAACAGTAGACCTACAAGAAGTCTGCAAAGAATTTGCAGATGTTTTCAGCCCACAGCTGGGCACGTACAAAGGACCCCCTGTGTCACTAAAACTAGACCCCACTGTCACCCCTATTAGAATTAAAGCAAGAAGGGTTCCTTTTGCCTTGAAAGGTAAAATTGACACCGAATTGGACAAATTGATTCAGCAAGGAGTTTTAGAACCTGTCGACTCCAGTCCTTGGGAGACCCCCATTGTCACGCCTCTTAAGGCAAATGTGGACATTCGCATCTGTGCAGATTACAAATGCACTCTGAATAAGGCATTGCAGCAACATGCCTATCCTGTTCCCGTGGTCAGTCATATTCTGGCCTCCCTCAAGGGGGGACGTGTTTTTGCAAAGCTTGACCTAGCTCAGGCGTATCAACAGTTGCCTGTTGATGCTGCTGCTGCTGTAGCTCAAACCATTGTGACCCACAGGGGGGCATTCAAGGTAAAGAGGTTACAATTTGGAGTAAATGTCGCTCCTGGGATTTTCCAAAGCATAATGGAAAGCACACTACGGGGTATACCAGGGGTTTGCCCCTATTTTGATGATGTCTTAATTGCTGGAGACTCTACACACAACTTAGCTGAGAGATTAAGGGCTGTCCTGCTGAGGTTCAGGAAAACGGGCCTCAAACTTAAGAAGGACAAATGTAAAATTGGGGTGCCTTCTACAGATTTTCTGGGATTCAAAATCGATGCTACCGGGATTCACCCTGCTGAATCCAAATTGAACACTATTATGCATGCTCCTAGGCCAAAGTCCAAGGCCGAACTACAGGCCTTTCTGGGCCTTCTGAATTTTTACAACTCCTTCCTTCCAAACAAGGCTAGTGTAGCCGAGCCTCTTCATAGACTCCTGGACAAACAGGCAGTGTGGCAGTGGTCACAAAAACATGAAGCAAGTTTCAATGAGGTTAAGGCCTTACTCACTTCTAACAGTGTGCTTGCACATTTCAATGAATCCCTTCCTGTGTGCATTGCTTGTGATGCTTCTCCTTATGGGGTGGGAGCCGTACTAAGCCACCTCAGACCAGATGGAACTCAGGTTCCTGTTGCATATTACTCCAGAACCTTGTCTTCTGCAGAGCGAAATTATGCTCAAATTGACAGGGAGGCTTTAGCTGTTGTTGCTGGAATCAAAAAGTTCCATGATTTCCTATATGGCAGGCATTTCACGGTCTTCACTGACCATAAGCCTTTGTTGAGGCTGTTTACCACACATAAGCAAACTCCCCAAATCATCTCCCCCAGAATGCTGAGATGGTCTATCTTTCTGTCTGCCTATGATTTTTCCTTATTTCACAAACCTGGGAAAGAAATGGGCCATGCTGACGGCCTCAGTAGATTACCCCTGCCAGTAATAGAGGCTGACCCTGCACCAACAATCAATATCCTCTCAATTCAGGCCTTGCCTGAGTCCCCTTTAGATGCCAGGGATGTGGCTGCTGAATCAGCCACAGATCTCACACTTTCTCGTGTCCTATCTTGGGTTTTATCTGGATGGCCAGAGAGCTGTCCAGGCACTGAGTTTCAGAGTTTCTGGTCCAAAAGGAACGAGTTATCCACTTTCCAGGGTTGTCTGCTTTGGGGGAGCAGAGTTGTCATTCCTGCCTCAATGAGGACTAGGGTCTTAGGTTCCCTCCACGAGGGTCATCCTGGCATTGTACGTATGAAGGCGCTTGCGCGCAGCCATTTGTGGTGGCCTGGGTTAGACAGAGACATTGAAGCTAAGGTGCATGCATGCCACCTTTGTCAACTCTCATGCCCCGAAATGCCCCAAGCTCCTGTACATAGATGGGAGGAAACACAGTCTCCATGGTCTAGGGTGCACATTGACTACGCTGGGCCCTTTCAGGGTCAATTCTTCTTGGTCTTGGTTGACAGCCATTCAAAATGGCTTGAGGTTGTACCTGTCTCTTCCACCACCACTGCAAGGACTATTCAAATACTGAGGGGGATTTTTGCTGCACACGGGCTTCCTGATGTCCTCGTATCTGACAATGGCCCTCAATTCACTTCTTCCGAGTTCTAAGCTTTCTTACAGGCCAACATGATTCGTCATGCCACCTCTGCGCCTTTCCACCCGTCCACCAACGGTATGGCTGAACGCATGGTTCGCATCACCAAGGACGCTTTGAAGAAAATTACCTATGGAGACTGGCATCACAAGTTGGCTGACTTCCTCCTTTCTTATCGCACTACACCCTCCACTTCTACCGGGAGGAGCCCAGCTGAACTTCGTTGGGGGCGCAAACTGACTACCAAGCTTGACCGGTTGCACCAGGACAGACTACCTTCCACAATCACACACCCCAGGGCACCTAGACAACTGCTTGTGGGTGCCCCGGTTTGGACTCGTAACTACGGGCCTGGTCATTCATGGGTCCCTGCCATTGTGTCCAGGGTCACAGGTCCTTTGTCCTACGAGGTTTCCCTGGACGACGGTCGTGTCCTGCGACGACACATCGACCAGCTCCGCACTAGATGGGACCTTCCCACTGAGACTCCTGGGTCTTTTCCAGGGGGGGAAGGGGACCCCTTTGGGCAAGGGGAAGAGTGCAGGCTGCCACCTATCATTAATGAGGGAACTACAGACAGCTCATTCCGAGATTCCGCAAGTGCTCCAAACAGGAATTCATGGAGCCCAACTAGAAATCAGGCACCAGTGCCTATTCCAGTCAGGGAGGATATCCGGGAGCGTCCAAACAACCCACACCCTGCAAGAGAGCTGGCACACATTCCGTCTAGTTGGCCCAACACTGCCCCTGTCCCTAGAAGGGGGCAAGCACACAGGGAGGTGGTCGAGGAACCGAATCCCGACTACAACACCTCTGACATCACTCAGGGGATAACTGAGTTTTGGGACAGTACTGAAACCCCAGTAAGCCCGGTTACAGAACAGGAACACGGGGGAAGACAACCTCTTGACAGGTCTAGGACAGACCTGGGAGGTTCTACAGAGTTGTCCAACAGTGACAGTCACTTAAGAGGGCCAGAGAGCCTGCAGCCAGGCAGGACAACCAGGTCAAACAGAGGACGAAGCCCTGGCCTGACGAGCCCGGTGGGCAAGCAAGCAGGCCAGGCATTGGAGCACAGTCCTTGGGAATCACCAGGGCGTAGCAAGGGGGACAAGCATACATCACCCCTCAGTCAAGGGGTATTTGGAAGGTACCCAGAAGTCAGGAGGTCACAGAGAGCTAAAAGATCTCCTAAGTATTTAGAAGATTTTGTAACCCTACTGGCAAAACAGAGTTAACAGAGAGTATTCCTGTACACATAGGAAAAATGGAACACTGGGGAACAATAGAAGCAAAAGAGATAACTGGTGCAAAGATAGTATGGGTACCACACTCGTATTGGGTTGTATATTATTATTTGTATGATCATAGTCTTGGCTGGGGGGGGGGAAGGGGTGTTATGTCCTGAGCCTGTGAAAGCAGGCTGTCGCCAGCACTCATGCGCATGTGCGAAGTGCAAGCGTGCCAAATGTTGCAGTTTGGCCCGGGAATCGCCTATAAAAAGGGCAGGGAGACTTGGGCATTGTCGGCGTCTTGTAACCAGTATGCTGAACAGAAATAAAGAGGCTCCTGAGAACTACAACTGCTTCTCGTGTCATTGCCATTTTGCGAAGGACTTAACACTGTCCATTCAGGAATTGCCTGAATCTCCACTCAATGCTAGGGACGTGGCTGCAGAAACAGCCATTGATCACACGCTAACACGTGTGCTGACATGGGTGCTATCAGGATGGCCTGACATGTGTCCTGGCACAGAGTTCCAGAGTTTCTGGAAGAGGAAGCATGAGCTATCCACCTTCAAGGGTTGTGTCCTATGGGGTAGCAGGGTAGTGATCCCAGCCTCATTGAGGACTAGAGTCTTGCCCTTTCTGCATGAGGGACATCCAGGAATAGTCTGGATGAAGGCGCTTGCATGAAGCCATTTTTGGTGGCCTGGGCTCGATAAAGAGATTGAGGCCCAGGTCCATGGGTGCAGTGTTTGCCAACAGTCTGAAATGCCTCAAGCTCCTGTACATAGGTGGGAGGAGATAAATGCTCCTTGGTTGAGGGTTCATATCGACTATGCTGGTCCCTTTCAGGGGCAATTCTTCCTTCTCGTGGACAGCCATTCCAAGTGGCTAGAGGTCGTTCCAGTCTCCTCCACTACTATTGCCAGGACCATCCAGGTATTGAGAGGGATCTTCGCCTCTCATGGGCTTCCAGATGTCTTTGTCTTCGACAACGGCCGCCAATTCACTTCTTCTGAATTTCAGGCTTTTCTACAGGCCAACTTGATCCATCATGCCACATCTGCACTGTTTCATCCAGCATCCAAAGGCCAGGCTTAGCGTATGGTGCGCACAACTAAAGATGCTTTAAAGAGAATCATTCGTGGAAGCTGGCATCACAGGTTAGCTGACTTTCTTCTTTGCTACCGCACCACACCTTGCACAGCCACTGGAAAGAGCCCAGCTGAACTCTGCTGGGGTCGCAGACTCATTACAAAACTGGACAGGTTGCACCCAGACTGGGTGGCTTCACCGGTGTCACAGCCGTGAGCACCTAGGAGACTACAGGTGGGTGATCCGGTTTGGGCAAGGAACTATGGACCTGGACATCTCTGGGTGACAGCAGTGGTCTGCAAAGTCACTGGGCTGCTGTCATACGAAGTGGCCTTGGATGATGGTCGGATGTTATCGACTAACTGTGCTGGAGGCTTCCCACTCACACTTCCGTTCCTAACTCTGCTCTCGGGGGGAGAGGACCACAATTACGATCGTGGGCCACAGTCTCTCCACGAAAGCAGAACTTCACAGGCACCAGTAGGGGGGTTTGCCAATGGGGCGGCTCCTGACTCTGGCACAGGCACTGGGTCCATGGGACATTGCTTGCAACTGGCATATATCCCAACTTTAATTCCAAAGCCGTATTTGGTGTGAATTTAATCACTTCTGATTCCTATCAGACCAGGCCATTCCACCTGCTGGGACAGTGCTCCCAAGAAGGGTCCATTGTGGACTTGGGGAATTCCACCCCACCAAGGAACTTTGGTCTGGGTTCACAGGATCCGGCCAGTCAGCAGGTTGGAGAGTCGCCTGAGTAAAGGGGGCATCAAAGTCCTGGCCTGCCGAGCCTGGCAGGCGAGCTTGCAGGCCAGGCAGTCACAACCGTTCCAAGAAGGTCAGAGAGAACCAGAGGTCCACCCAAGTACTTACAGGACTATGTAAGACTCCTGTCAGTAGGTGGGCAGGCTTAAGGGTACTTAGAAATAAGAATGTACTCAAAAGAACAAGTGTTCAGTTATAGTAATGCAAAATAGTATCTTTGTGTTGGGAATAAAGAATTGACAAGGTATTAGATTTATAGTATTGTAAAATATTAAGTATCTGGTTTTGAAATTAGGGGGAGGGGTGTTATGTCCTGGGCCTGCTGAGTGACTCAGCAGGTGCAGGAAGCTGCAGAAAGGCCAGGGATGCCCGGGACCAGACAGGCTGTCTCCAGCCTATTGCGCTTGCGGAAGGCAGGAGAAATACGGTGCATTGATTGGGTTACACTGTCCCTGCAAAGGGGTATAAAAGGAATCCACACCATTTTGTGTTTTTGTTCTGTTGGAGAGTAATAAAGAGAAGATTAAGGGTTGTTACTCCTGTCTCGTCTCAATTTCTTACATCGGAAACAACAGTAACCATTTGATATTCAGAAAGAAATGGATCATTCTGGTCTGATAGGAATCAGAAGTGATTAAATTCACACCAGATATGGCATTGGAATTAAAGTTGGGATATATGTTGACAGTGGTAAGAATCTTATATGCACAAAGATGAAAAAAATACACTAATTCCCACAGTGGAAGAATGGATGGTAAATGGGAGCTGGAGATCGCAAAAATTAACTGTTTTATTAAGGATAATAATTTATCTAGTTCAGTTTCCATTTCAAAACCACTTCCTGATTTTGTACTCAGCTGAAAAAAAATTGAAATTCTAATTTTGGGCTTTAGCGATTAGAATGACTTTGTTGTTATAGAAATGGCTTTAAACATTTAGAAATGTAAAACAAAAGGTTGAGACTGTAACTTTTTTGTATTCTATTGCACTGGAAAAAGTTGGAAGTCATTACTTTTTTCCTTTCTTTTTTTACTTCTTTCTGCATTTTTCTTCTCCTCCTCTCTTTAACTTTCTTAATTTTTGTTTGTATTCGTATTTTATCTTATAATCCACTTTAGTAAAAATTCAAAGAAAATAAAATAAAATTGGGCATTTGCCCTGGTTTGCACTAGGCACTATTACACTTCCCTTAAGACATGAACCTCTCCTGAAGTTCTCTCTGCCAACACGTCAAAGAAAAAGAAAGAATTTAACTCAGGCCCAGTGTAATAAAAAGCTTTACAGGTAGTCCTCAACTTGCAACCATTCCTTTTGTGACTGTTAAAAGTTACAACACTGAAAAAAGTTCACTTATGACCATTGCAGCATCCCTGTGGTCATGTAATCAAAATTCAGATGCTTGGCAACTGGCATGTATTTATGACAGTTGCACTGTCCTGGGGTCATGTGATCCCCTTTTGTGACTTCTGATAAGCAAAGTCAATGGAGAAACCAGATTCCCTTAACAATCATGTTACTAATTTTAATAGCTGCAGTGATTCACTTAACAACTGCGGCAAGAAAGATTGTAAAATGGGGCAAAGCTCATTTAACAACTGTCTTGCTTAGCTACAGAAACTTTAGGCTTGATAATGGTTATAAGGACTACCTGTACAGATTTTGTCCCTCATTACTCTAAGAATTCAATCTCCTTTCAATATTGCAAAGAATTTCAACAGGGTGTTTTTTTTTATTTTGTTTTTTGCTTAATTCAGCGTGTTTCTGTGCATTAAAACACACTATCTTCCTTTTTCATGTTTGGGTCCTGCAGCTACAGTGCTGGAGATGCTTTCATCTACCTGTTCATCTACCTGAATGGTATGGGATGCTAAGCGTCTAATTTCTTTCCAAGAAGTCAACACACCCAGCACTGCAATAGTCTCTTGGTGCGAGTGTCTATAGTCAATCAACTATATAACCTTGGGGAAAATGCTCGAACCATAAAATCTCCTAGGTATTATCTGGGCAAACAGTTGTGCATTAACCACGCAAGCACAAAAGAGAGCCTGTGGGTGGAATAGGCAACCATACCAAAGCCTGAAATAAGAGTATAAAGAGAAAACATCTGTCTTCGCTGGACTTGTTTGTGATTCAGACAGGTGAGTACTTGTAGGAAATAGCAGAAGGCAGAATTGGGTTACAATGTTTATCAGGGGAAGTTTGTGTAAGAGGTACTGTACGTGTCTGTAATTGCACATAGAATGACTGCCGAAAGGACAGTAGGCTCTTCTACATCTTCATCTCTTGAAGGTTGTACAGGAAGATGTAGGGAAACTGCAGGCTCTGTTTCTTTGAGAGGGAAGGGAAGATGGGAACAAAGAATGAAAAAGAAGATGAGAAAAAGCAAGAGGAAAAGAGGGAGAAAAAAAAAGAAAAATAATGAAAAATGGAGAAGGAGATGGGAAAAATCCAAAATTAAAACAGAAAGAGGGAGAGAGAATGAGAGAGAGAGAGAGAGAGATAATATAAAGTAGGATAGGGGACTTTGGGGGAAGGTAAGCCACAAATCCTGGCTTTTCTCACCACTAGCCAGATAGGATAGGAATCCTGAAAGGTTGGTTTGCAACAGCTGGAGGTGAAAATAATAATAATAATAATAATAATAATAATAATAATAATAATAATAATAATACCACGTCCTGGGTAAGGACTTGATAGGTAGACAAAATGCCAAATCCAGTCTGAACATCTGACTGTACGATGATTAGTAGTAGTAGTAGTAGTAGTAGTAGTAGTAGTAGTAATAGTAATAATAATAATAATAGTAGTAGTAATAGTAATAGTAGTAAAGTTGGAAGAGACCTTGGAGGTCATCTAGTCCAACCCCCTGCTCAGGCAGGAAACCCTATACCATTTCAGACAAATGGCTGTCCAGTCTCTTCTTAAAAACTTCCAGTGTTGGAGAATTCACCACTTCTGGAGGCAGGTTGTTCCACTGGTTAATTGTTCTGTCAGGAAGTTTCTTCTTAGTTCTAAGTTGCTTCTCTCCTTGATCAGTTTCCATCCGTTGCTTCTCGTCCTGCCTTCAGGCGCTTTGGAGAATAGCTTGACTCCCTCTTCTTTGTGGCAGCCCCTGAGGTATTGGAACACTGCTATCATGTCCCCCCTCATCCTTCTCTCTATTGAACTAGACATACCCAATTCCATGGATTCTCAGTTTCCATTATAAACAAAGGGGAGGAAGTTTTCCTTCACAAGTGGATTGATGAAAGGAAATGACCATTTATATGCTATAGATAAATTGGGATTTCTTCTACATCCAGCTGTCCATAAAAATCAGAGCAAGGAAGGATTCATGCTCCTGGGCAAAGAGTGGGTGGCAGCAAGGAGGAACACAACTTTTGAATTCTTTGCACAATCTCCCTGTTGCCTAAATTTTGTAGCTATGATAGCATAGCCTTTTTTCCAAGCATAGGTGGCAATTTTGGGCAATTTCTATATTTGTTTTTGGTATATAAAGACCATTTATTGGTCATGGTATAGTAACCTCATCTGAAAGAAGATAGTTGGAGTTTTCAGCCTTGAATTTTCTGGGTTGGGAGAGGTAGTTTAGAAACATAAACACATATTATACCTATTGGAGTTTTAATTTAAACTGCTGCATCTTGGTTAGATGGGAAGAAAGGATATCTTTGCACACCCACATTGGGTGAAAGGTCCAAAGACAGCTGTGCTGTACATGAATTATTTATTATTTCTTATAAATGACTCAAGGTGGCAAACATGCGTAATACTTGTTTGCCTTGCTGTTTTCCTCACAACAACAACCCTATGAGGTAAGTTCAACTGAGAGAGAGGAACCAGCCCAAAGTCACCCCGCTGCCTTTTATGTCTAAGGTGGAAGTAGAACTCACAGTTTCCTGGTGATTGATCCAAAGACAGCCAGCTGGCTTTCATGACTAATGATGAGATAAGAACTCACTGTCTCCTGGTTTTTAACCTAATTACTTAACCACTGACCAAACTGTCATTTGATTAAGATCGCGTTTCATTCTGGGAAGGGAATTAAGATGGCTGTTGTAACCTTGCCATATTGGGTGGAGATTTAATATACCTTTTTCCAAACTGTTTCTGTGTGAGCTGTTTGGTATGCTGTTTTAATGGCCTGAACCTCTCCTCAGGACAGAGAGAAGGAACTATTTCATCTATTTTGGTAGGAGCATTTGATTATCAAGGGGAGGGCAAGCAGATTGGAAATGTCCATCCCCTGGGACTACAGAGATTTGGGTTGTCAAGACATCTAGCCAGCTCATCAAATGCAAGGATCTCTTTCCCCAGGCAAGTAACTTTGGAAAATGCACTAATTGCTGTACATTTAGAGCAGCAAAGCTGCTGGAGTGGCAAGGACAGAAATAGAGCTAGATGTTTATTTTGACTTCTTTAAGTTCGCTCTTAATTTCTCCAGAGAATAGCCTGTGGGAGAAAGAGTTCCCAGGTTGCTTGAGATTTGCAGCCTCTTTGGGGTTTTTTTTTCTCCCTGAGGAAAAACTTCCAGTCCCCAAGTTATAGCAAAGAAAGGGGGATTGTCAATCAAAGGGCAAACAAATTAGCCAGGAAAAACAGCAGTAATAATGATACATACCAATGACTGGTATATGCTGATATATCAATTCCTTTGTTTATCCTAGTGTTACCAATAAAATATGTTGGATTGGATTCAGATGAAAGATGCTTCCTAAAGGCACTAGTAATCAAAAATCATCCTGCAGTTATTTTGTCTTTCCATCTTTCTCAGTTTTTCTCCACTAAAAAGAAAAGAGAGGGAAGATCTGGTGAGCAAACCTGGCAGTTTAGAAACTATTCTGCTGGGCATTAGTTCAATAGGCTTTCAGAGAATACTTTTATTGTGAACAATGTAGTTGGTAAAATTATATGGAAAAGATTGGATGATTGCATAATAAAACCACAGTAGTTAGGGGAGCTGTTCTTTTAATTTGTTATAATAATAAAATAGGTTAATTGCATTAATGTTTTTGAAGATGTATTTTGTTTGATAATTTGAGGCATACTTCCTCCTTTATATAATTTTAATTTTAAGAAATTAGCAGGAAGATTAAAAACTAATGTAAAGTAATTAAAAGAAAAGAAAAAGTAAGAAAGAAATCAGAAAAGGCTAAAAATGCAAGAAAAAAAAAGAAAAACATAAAAGAAAGAAAACAGATACAAAGAAGGGGCTTCCAATTCTATTTATAGCCATTATAAGCTTACCTGTTACTCTGTGGCACCTCTCTTCTTACTGTAATGTAAATCTAATTATCAAAATCATAAATCATAAATTCACTTTTTGTTTGCTTTCCCAAAAACAGTCCATATGAGTATCTGTGACATAGTTCCTGAGATGGAAACAGATGAATTATCTGTTTTTCCAGGATTTATTTTATCTTATTTATTTATATGCCCTCTTTATTATTTTTAAAAATACGGTAACTCAAGGAGGAGAACATATCCAGCGTTCTTTCTGCGTAACAGAAATCCTGTAAAATTACTTGGGCTGAAAGAAAGTGGCTGCCTCAAAGTCACCCAGCTGGCTTTCATGACTAAGGTGGGACTTGAAGTCATAATGTCACACTTTCTTGCCTGGTGCCTTAACCACTAGGCCAGGGGTCCTCAACCTTGGCAACTTTAAGACTTGTGGACTTCACTCCCAGAATTCCAGGTTTGGTGGCTGAGGAATTCTGGAAGTTGAAGTCCACAAGTCTTAAAGTTGCCAAGGTTGAGGACCCCTGCCCTAGGCCATGGGAGATAAACGTTTTTAAGGGAGTTGCCTCTGATTCAGTGACTCAGCTTTGCATTCCTCCCCTTGTGAGAGGCACTTTGGAAGAAGCCATGGACAGAACAGTGAATTGATCTAAGTACTTGGCCTATTGAAGCACCCAACTCCAGAGATGCAGTGGCTGGATCAGAAGATGACAACTTGAGGAGCTGGGGGGGGGGGCATTTTCAACATTTTGATATAGGATGAGGATTGTGGTAAGTGGGCACGCGTACAGATGATTCCAGTACAGACATTCCTTGACTGACGATCAGTTGTTTAGTGAGCGTTTGAAGTTCAAACTGATCTGAAAAATGGGACTTGCGACCTGGATTTGAAGTTCTCATGGTCAGGTCCCTCCATGACCACATGACTGAACTTTGAACATTTGGTTACATGGCCACATAATTTGCAGCATCCTATGATCATGTGACTGTGTTTTATGGCAGTTTTGCCCCAAACTGCTACTTATTTCCAGTGTTTGACAAAACTGTGCCCACAGTGAACCATTAGTTCACTTAACAACTGCAGTGTTCATCTAACAACCTGCCTCCAGATGTTGTGAATGCTCCAACACTGGAAGTTTTTAAGAAGAGACTAGACAACCATTTATCTGAAATGGTATAGGATTTCCTGCCTATACCAGTTAAAACAAGTTAACATTGGTTTCTGTTGAATATATTGTATGGAGTCAGCCTACTGGAGTTTATGGCACCACCATTTTGTGAATCCAACCAATTGTAATTTAATGTGATAAATCATAAATAACCAACCTGATTGTCTATGGAGATTCGCAATCATCCTGGTCATGGTTGTGTCAACGCTGCTAACATCAGATGTTTTTGCTTTGACAACAAATGGAGATGCAACCACTTTCTTCTTATGTTTTACTTTTAGAGTTAGAGTTAGATAATGCTGGGGGGAGGAATGTGCATGAGAGTTTAGCTAGACATAATAATACTGAACCTAGTGTGTGAACCAAGGTTATTGAATTTAAGAGATGATAAGAATTGGTGGGCTGGAGAACTGGAGGGAAACCTTGCATTTCAAACTAATTGGAGAATGTGATTTATGACTGTTAATTGGAGGAGGGAATTGTGCTTTAATACTATGTGCTCAGGGGAGGGGAATCCAGTTTTTGGCTTCGATTGTGTTAGTGCCAATACTATACTTCTCAAATAAAGATTCTTTAAGGTAAACAATGCCTCAAAGTTCTTTGAAGAGTTTCATCTGTCGGACCTATGACAGATTGTCCCAAAGATGTTTTTTTCCAAAAGGCAACTGGTCTTTCTTTGTGTTTTCTTTGAAAAGGTTTTGCTTCTCATCCAAGAAGCTTCTTCAATTCTCTTCTTCAGAATTGAAGAAGCTTCTTGAATGAGAAGCAGAATATTTTCAAAGAAAACACAGAGAAAGACCAGTTGCCTTTTGGAAAAAACACCCTTGAGACAACCAAACTGGTTGTTGGATGAACTAGTCAACCATGCTATGATTCTATTTACATTTGGCTGATCATATACAAGATGATTAGTGCCTGATTTAGTTTAGTACTTGGATGGAAGACATGGTAGCACTGTAGTCTAATTTGGGAAGTTGAAAAAACACCTTAGAAAAAGACTATGGGAAGCACTTCCATCTTACTGTTGAGAAAACTACACAGTTTCTCCATGAAGATTAATCTGAGGAAGAGAAGATCTAATTACTATGCTTAAATTATTTTGATTATGAATGCAAACTTCAAAGGATAATTTATATCAATTAGATAGCTGTAAATGTTGAGCCTCCCTCTTTCTGATGCTTGCATCCTCTAATTGTCAGCATATTTTTGCATCTCTCCATCTAAGGTCCACCTATAAATCCCTCACAACCTTGTTATGTATTGACATTTTTCCTTGACATTGTGGCTGGTGGGTGGGAAGAAAAACAGAAAACAGCTTTGCTGAACAGCTGAATCTTGAAATACATCAAAACATCCTTCTATGTTCTGTAGCTTCCTTATTGTATTAGGTGCATGTCCAGCCATATTAATGGCATTATCACAGTGGTTGCTTCCTGGTTTGCTAAGAGCTGCCTTAACACCCAGTTCAAATACATCTCCCATAGAAGTCATCACTGCCTTGGTATTATTTTTGACAGTGTGTAGGAAGAAACATCTCCAGCTCAGGTTCAACTAGCAGGGCAGGTTTCTCCTAAGCATTGAAATATTGATGCCTGCTTTTTCCAATGTCACTTGAACGCTTGTTTTGGGTGAGAAAGAGGGGAGTAGCCCTTCAGAGAACCCTGGTTGATTACAATAAGTAGAAATCAAAAGCTTTTCCAGTGCTGGGGTGTGCTTTCATCCCACATCCTGTCTTTGGTATTCATGGCAAGGAGCTTCTCTCTCTCTCTCTTTCTTGTAACAGGTTAACATTAGAAGATAGGATCATTCAATGACACTGGTTGATGCTTGGATTCAAATAAGAAAAAAGTAAGTATTTCTTCATGTTCCATCTAACCAGCACGTGGAGCTTATTTCAGGTGGCTTTAGAGAAAAAGAATGAAGCAAATGATTTTTAAGTGACTCCTGTTGACTCCCATTTTCAGAGCAAAATATCTTATAAGACAAGGTGCTTGGGCAAACAAGGCATAAGTTAAAGCATTATTGTGGATGGATGCATAATCAGCCAAATGTTTAGACTGGAATTGGCATTTTTATCCTTACTAAGGACCTGGGATAGGCAGATCTTGTTTGATGGTTGCAGGATGTAAGCTGTTCCAAGTAAAGCTGCTTTTTGCAATTGTCTGATGGTCATTTTGTCAATGCCAATGGTACTCCAGATGTTTGGGATTGCACCCAGGAAGTTTTACGATTGGTACTACTTTTACTTTCTTTTGCTAATATCATTCTACTTCTGTTTGCAAATCTTTGCATTTTGTGAACTTATTTCTTTCTCTTCTATTCTCCTGTTTCCAGCTACTGCCACATCCACTGTGTGGACGTTTTTGTCTTTTCTTATCAACAGTTGTTAAGTCGGGAGTGTAATGTGGCAGGTGCTTGTCTATTAGTATTCTAAAGATGCAGAGCACTTTAGTTTCTTTATTTTCTATTACTTTGTCTATTTCTTGGTCCGAACAGTTCTTAACTGGCAGCAAAGTGAAATTTTTGCTATTACATTCCATTACCTTGTTGCTACTTTGTCATGCCATTGTTTGTAGTCAGTCTGTCTGATCTTCTTGCAGCAACTAACTAGATCAGTGGTTCTCAACCTTTTTAATGCCGCGACCTCCAACTGGTCGTAAGTCGAGGACTACTCAACTGGTGCAGCACCGTTTGCAGAATGGGACTTTTGGTAGGCTCAGCAGGGCAGAGACAGCCTGGACAATTCCTATTGGCTTTTGAAAGCCAATAGAATTAGACTCTGTTCAAGAGAGTCTATTCTATTGGCTTTCAAAAGCCAATAGAGTAAAAGAGAGTAGCACAGCTAAGGAAAAGGGGGAAAAAATGGCGGACTGCATTGTTTGGCGACCCCCGTGAAATGGTCGTTCTACCCCAAATGGGGTCCCGACCCACAGGTTGAGAACCACTGAACTAGATGGTCCACTGTTTTTTGAGATTCTTTGCAGAGACAGTATTTGCTGTCTGTTGCTGTTTCCTCAATTCCGGCTTTATAGGCATTTGCTCTTAAGGTTTGGTGCAGCCAGAATTAGCCCCTCTGTATCTTTCTTCAACTTTTCTGCTCTTAGCCCTTGTTAAGTTTTGCAGCTAGTTGCTTTGCCTGTTAGGGTTTTGTTGTTTTTGTTTTTTGTATACTAGCTATGTAGTAGTTTGCCCTGTCATGTCTCTTTTCAAGTGTTCATTCATTCTTTCTTATAAGCCAGTCTGGTTTCCCTCTGCACCTTAATAGGTCTTCATGATATACCAGCCTCACTGCATATTCTTCACTATCCTTCAGATATTCTTCAATCTCCTTTTTATTTCTTCAGCTGTCTGGTGTCCTTGCAACATTTCGCCCGCATATACTCCTTGGTAAGTAGGCTCTGTCAACATCAGTGCATAAATGAAGGGTATGATTTATCGTCATTATTTTTCTAGTCATCTTATCCAGAGCTTTTAATTCTGCTTAGCTCCAGTCCATTATTCCAGCTGTGTACCTGATGATTGGAATTGCCCAGGTTTAATTGCCTTGATGGTACTTCTTGCACTGAATTTGGACTTTCAGACTTTCTTCATGATGTAATCACTTTGTCTTGATTTCTGTCCAGGTACCACTTTATTTGTGTGGTTGATGTCAGCTTGAAGGATTCCTGGATATTTATAGTGAACTTCTTCATCCACACTTTTTAAATATTGTTATAATTATAGATGGCTGCACCATCAGCCAGATGTTCAGATTGGATTTGGCATTTTTATTCACCTATTTTATTCACCTGTGACCTTCCCAAAGATTTGGGATAGGCAGAAGTTGTTGTATGATGATGTTAAATGTATTACTACTACTACTACTACTACTACTACTATTACAATTTATATTCTAATGCTATTAAGCACCCAGTTAAGGCAATTCTTTTTTCTTGTCTTTCTTGTTTATGCTTTCTAGAACTATCTGCTCTAACAGCACCAGGCCTAGGAGACAAGTAACTTTGGGTCAATTGCTACTTCTCAGTTTAACCTACCTCACAGGGTTGTTGTGAGGATAAAACAGGGAAGAGGGAATTCCTGCTCTTAATTCCTTTCAGGAAAGGAAGGAAGTACAGATATAAATAAGTACAGGTATAAAAAAACTGAAGATGAATTAATCTATTAATTTTGCTTTGTCCTGTATTTTTTTTAAATCTAGTATTTTCAATCTTGCACTGTAATGAAATATACATAAAACATTACTTTTGATCCTGTTTATACATAAACATATGAAGGTTTTTTGAAGCACTTATCTTAAAAACAAACTTAGCAAAATTCTCACTAATCTGCAACAGCCAAATGCAATAAATCAATGTATTTCTAGCATAGAGTATGGAGTATGTTGTATCTAACAGCTTCCTAATATGACCAGACACTCCTCAGAAAAAGCTTAGGGTTTCCTTCCCATTTTTGAAAGGAGTTACCAATTCTGTAATTTATTAAAACAACATCAACCATAAACCATATATGAATGAAATTCTCATTCTATCCTAGATGAGATTTTAATTTGTTCCAGTAGGGATTTTTCTGCTATTTTTTATGAAGCCTGAGAATTACACACAGCATCTAAGCTTGCTGAGAAGCTGTTTAGGTGTCCCATTGTCTGTGTTTGCGTGTGTGAGGGTGCTCAAACAAATTCTTACTGCCTCAAGACAGAACAAATAAAAAGAAAAAAGCTAATGAGGGAGAAGAGATACTTTGCTATAGCCTATCAGCTTTCCATAACCTCCAAATTGAAGCTCTGGCTGTTATAACTGTAATTGGACATATCCGGAAGGTCTTGAGGGGTTTTTTTCTTCTTAAAGTAGCAAATAGATCGTGAACCAAGACGATTTGAGTTCCAATTTTTTCTCTGCCACTCCATGCCACTGCTTTTTCTCTTCCTCATTGTCAAACATTCATAAATCTGTTCTCATTTTCAGAGGACACAACTAATTCTCCTGGTGGAAAGGGAGACTCCTTTGAATTTGGTTTTGCCGCCAAGTTTCACACTTATTTTCAAAACTTTCCTTATCATCTGCTGGGCTCCAGGATGTTCCAAAAGTATTTCCAATATAAAGGGATCAGTTTTCCTGAAGTCATCTATGCAGGACCTGTGTTGCAGATGGTAGAAAAGGATTTCCAAGTTCGAGATGACGATATTTTCAATGTCACTTATCAGAAGTCAGGTAGAATTTTTTGGGCTACTTGTGGGGAGGGAAAATGCTTCAGATTAGTGCGGGAAAGCAAGTCAATTCTATTTGTGCATGCGTGTGTTTTAAAGAAAAATAGACTTGGTGTCCCATTCAGTTTCCAAATGGGATCTAATTCTTAGTAAAAGCATAAACAACTTTTACAAAACACTGCTTTTGGAAAAAAATCAGCAACAACAAAAAACAACAGCAGACAGCACTAGCAGCGAATATGTGACATTTAAAAACAGCTAAAACTTTTAAATTTGTTTTAATATTTGACTATGTAAAATATTTTAACTTTTACCTTGGAGACTTTTACCTTAATAAAGCACAAGATATGGAGGCAAATGGATGATGTTACATGGCTTGGGCTTAGATAATAATATGCATAGCATCAGTGGTGGGATTCAACTATGTGAACAACTGGTTCTCTGTGTGGATGCCGCTTCCGGAAGTCCATTCTGGGCCTGGGCAACAAAAAATTAGCTACCGGTTCTGCCGAAGTGGTGCGAATCGGCTGAATCCCACCACTGCATAGCATCCTTTGGAAGCATTTGTACCACTTTGTTAATAAATAGAAATAAATATTTGTAGTTTCAAAAAGTTCAAACAAGCATTCAGGAAACTTCAGATCAAATCAGCTTTTTCAACCTTGACAATTTTAAGATGTGTGGACTTTAACTCCCAGAATTCTCTGAGAAAATTGGGTTGGGGAATTCTGGAACTTGAACTCTATACATCTTAATTTGCCAAGATAGAGAAACATAGGATTAGACACCAAGAGAGGTCAGATGAGATGGGGTCTTTTGGCTTTCACATACAGGAATTTTCTTAGCTCTCTCAAAGAACTATTAATATATGTACTCTACAAGCGTGTAGATAATTACTGTGTGATTGCTGAGATAAAAAGGAGATGTTCAATTATGTATATACAAAAGTATTTTTTGTTGTTCAGAATTAAACTGAGCAATTGTACAATTGGGATTCTGTTGTTTTTTGGGAAGCCCTGTTTGGATGGCACGAGGGAAAAGCAGAAGGAAAATATTGAAAATAAGCTAATGGCCTTAGTTCACCATTGTCTTCCCCAGATGTGTGACTTCAACTACCTGAATTACACAGCTGGTGTGGTTATTGCTGCACACATCTGGAGAGTTAACCAGCTTGGGAAAGGCTGTTCTAATTTTGATTTTATTAGGCCTGGGCAATTCTATCCAGATGATTGGCCTGGCTTTGCTAAATATTAAGAGATCAGGTAGCTATCAAAGCAGCTAAGCAAGGTTTTCTACCCCTGAGTTAAGAGATGTATAAGTAGTTCTCAAATTACGACCGTAATGGATGTTGTCATGAATGCCAACATGTTGTTAAGTGAACCAAAGGTCCAAGATAGATGCAATTTTGCTGAAAACCGGAAGTAAATGCTAGTATTTGGCAAAACTGTCATAAAACAACACATGAGAGTAGGATGCTGCAGACGGCCGATATAATGCGGTCCCATTACCAAGCACCAAATTGTGTTTAAGTGAATGCTGGTTGTTACATAAATCTGGTTGTCAATATTCCCCAGACAGGTCTGTCAGAATTTCAAATGGTTGCTAAGCAACTGATCATAAGTCGAGGACTACTTGTAGACCAATTCAGTAGCATAAAGGCCGATGATGCAATTTTCTGGCTGAAACTAAACGGGCCTTGCTTAGGTCACAGCATATTTAGAGAAATACAGCTGTGATCTTCTGGGTACAGGTAGTCCTCAACTTATAACAGTTTATTTATGACTATTCAAAGTTACAATGGCACTGAGAAAAAGTAACTTATGACCATTTTTCACACTTACGACTGTTGCAGCATCCCCATGGTCACATGATCAAAATTCAGATGCTTGGCAACTGACTCATATTTATGACGGTTGCAATGTCCCTTTCTGACAAGCAAAGTCAATGGGGAAGCCTGATTCACTTAACAACCAGGTTACTAACTTACCAACTGCAGTGATTCACTTAACAACTGTGTCAAGAACGGTCATAAAATGGGGCAAAATTCACTTAACATATGTCTCATTTAGCAACAGAAATTTTGAGCTCAATTTAGGTTATAAGTTGAGGATTACCTGTACATCATCCTGATTTTTATTCTAGAAAGATGGGGCATATATATAAAACGAGGGGCATAAAGTAACCAGGATTCAGATGGATTAAATACTGCTTTCTTGGAATGGTGGGGACTTTTTTTTAGGAACAGTGTGGATGCTGGAGATTTTAAGTCTCATCCGTAGCAATGGAGACCCTACCTGGTGCCAAACCACGCCTAATTGGGATAGAGGTCCCTGGTTCGAGACAGTGATAGGATACAGGACAGCTTTGACCAACGAGTCGCCCCGCATTATTAGCTCTCACCTGCCTGCACATCTTTTTGCCAAGTCTTTCTTCAAATCCAAAGCTAAGGTAAGAGGGAAATTATGATCATGACAGACTTCCATCTTGGGCGATTTAATTACCTTGACCTGGAAAGCTGCTTGGCAAAGAAAGTTAGACTTTGCATTACTTTCACTTTAGTATTGTGTATTTCTGTCCCCAATAAAAAAATTAAAACGCCGCTTCCATTCACATCCGGAGGCTTTAAGCTTCTTGGGAGCCTTTCCCAGGAAATTCAGTTGTAAAGAAAGGATCAATATTCTCACCCAGTCCAGACATGCTGTTTACGATGTGCTAATTAAAGTTATTGTTCTTCGGTTGTCAGCAGCTAATGGCCGGCCTGCAGAGGTATGGCTGGTCTTTCCCCTACCAGTTTAGAGGGCTTTCCTTGGATCGAAAAGAGACTGCTGTCTCTCCATGATTGACAAGGCATCGCCACAGATTATTTAGTGGCCCCATTTAAATATGATGTCTAAGTTCAGCAAATTGGGGGGAAAGGCTTCTGATTGGGCTCACATTCCATTCCCAGTGGTCTCATTTTAGATGTAAAACAATAGGCTTATTACAGGTAGTCCTTGACATACAACCATTAGTGAGCATTCAATGTTACAACAGCACTGAAAAACCTATGACCAATTCTCACACTTATGACTATAGCAACATCCCCATGGTCCTATGACCAAAATCTGGGCTCTTGGAAACTAGTATGTATTTATGATGGTTTCAGTGTCCTGTGGGTCATGTGATCTCTTTTGGGACCTTCCCACCCAACTTCTGACCAGCAAAATCAATGGGGAAAGCTAGATTTGCTTAACAATTGTGTGATTCACTGAACAACTGCAGTGTTTCATTTAACAATCATGACAAAAATGGGGTTTGACTCACTTAACAATTGCCTTGCTTAGCAATGAAAATTTTGGACTCAACCATGGTTCTAAGTAGAGGCTACCTGTATTATAATTATTATTTTGCCCTGCCACGCTTATCAATAGCTGACTTGCAGACCAGGGGAGTCAGCTATTGGGAAAGGAATAAAATCTATTTTTAGGAGGGCATGTTTGCCTAGATGGGCTCTGCTATTTTCTGATTTTGCATCTAATTATTTTTCCAACCATCCCGCTTTTTTATGTACATAGATAATCTACACAGTCAGAAATCCCAAAGATGTCTTGGTGTCCCTGTATCATTTTGCTTCAATGTTTCACCCCTATAAAGATCCTGGCACCTTGGATCAATTTCTTGAGGGCTTTCTAAAGGGAGATGGTAAGTGAATGAAGGAATGGGTGTAGAAAAACATTTTGGTCTTCTTCCCTCCCCATATGTCTTCTTTTCTCTCAATCTTCACATCGAATTCCTCTTGTGGTTACAGTGCCTTTTGGATCCTGGTTTGACCACATTAAAGGTTGGATGAACTTGAAGGACAAAGAGAACTTCTTCATTACGTATGAGGAGTTGCAAGAGGTTGTTATTATGTTATTTTGCTTGTCAATTCAACTGGGTGCTATACAACCACTAGGGGCAGCAGATTCCTGGATTTGACCGAGATGGTCAGATTCTGAAGTTCATTAAAAAGTGCGGGAATCCTCACACTATCCTTTTGGTGATAATCAGCAGGGATGACTGTCCTGCTTTCACAAATCCTTGGCTAGTTCAATGCTTTATGCTCTCCAAGGTGCAAAATGTGTGTGGAGGAGATCTTCTCACTGTTGGTGCCATGAAGACATAGCTTATTCTTTGCTAGATCATTGAGAGGGTGATTATTTATTTACTCGCTATCAACTGACTTTGGACTGCTTACAATGCCATAAATAACAGTATATTATTTGCTGTTTCAAGCAAAATACATGTATGAATCATGTTTTCTTGTTTGCCCAGTAATCACAGTGCCTTTTAATGTCTATAGTCCCACAGCACTCAAAACCATGGTTAATTCAACCACAGTGTAATGTTAACCCAATTTTCTTTATTCCCATAAAAGATTGAACCAAAAACTGATCACACCATCTAGGTTTGGTGGTTTTTTGATTAAATGAAAACATATTAGTTTATGATTAATTTTGTCTCAGAGGTATGTGTACTGTGTATGGAGTTCTTGGTGTTCTCTGAACTTGGCTGTTTCCTTGGAAACACTTCATTACCTAACAAGGAAACATCTTCAGTACAAGTTATGTATGGAGTTTGCTGCTGATAACAATGATGATGTTACCTAGTTGGGCAACAAAACTGCAAGCAAACAACCAAGCTCAGAGAGCATCAAGACCTTCGTTGTTCAAACCCAAGTTTTAGATATTCTCTTCTATTGTTCTGTGTATGTTTACACAGGCATGTTATAGAATTGCCAAGTCTGAATATATGTACAACTCAATTCTCCATTTAACATGATACCCTACCATTAAGAAGGAAATGAAGAAGATTGAATCTGTGAGGTCCAAATGCCTCTCTGTATACAACAATGTTCAACAGTGGCCATAATAGTAAGCACTTTATTATCCAGGTTAGGAGTAAAGAAGAGAGGACTGTAACTGGCCATTTCCTCCAAGGTAGAAAGAGGGATTAAATAAGTTTATTGTATCCCAGGGTTTTTATGTCTAGGCCAGGATCTCTCAGGTTCAGGCAACACAATTCAAACCAGCTTTGGAAAAAAAGGAATGACTGAATTCTGACTTTCTAACCCTCCACTTGTCTGATTCTGGTTGGGCTTGTTGTGTTGACTTAATCCATTGAGGCTCCTTAAAAGACACCAAATTAAACATTCCTAAGTGCTATATATGTCTGATGAATTTGAATGCTTTACTGAAAAAGCCTTCTGAAAGCAATATTGTTGTAAAGGCTTGGGGGTGCAATTGTTTTGATCCACTCCCTGGACTAGAGTTCTTCCATTGGTGTAAGGGCATTGATGGTTTTGAAAGAAGTATGCTAGCTAAAATTGAGTTTGAAACACTTTCTGTTTTGAGCAGAACTAAGGATGCCAGGTGTTATGCTTTCCAGGGTGGTTTTCAGACTCTCTTGTCTGGTTGTCCTCCAGGATCTGCGAGGAAGTGTTGTTCGTATCAGCCAGTTCTTAGGCAAAGACTTAGATGATGCAGCCATTGACTCCGTGGTTGCAAATGCCTCCTTCGAATCCATGAAGAGGAATAAGATGTCCAACTTCTCACTCACACCGAAGTTCATCATGAACCAAAAGAAAAGTGCTTTCTTTCGCAAAGGTGATGAAGAGATGGAACGGGGAAGGATTTGCATCTGGAACAGCCTCAATCAGGGTGATTTTCCAGGACAGTAGTTTCCAACCTTGGCCATTTTAAGGGGTATGGACTTCAACATCCAGAATTCTTATCAATGGCCGTGCTGGCAGTGGAATGCTGGAGGCTAAAGTCCACCAACCCAGAAATGGTCAAGGTTGGGAAATACTATTTCACAGGGATGCCACTAAACTCCAATCTCTTTGCTTTCCTTGCCAGCTGCAGGGTTTTTGAGCTGTAAGACTTGGCAGGATCCTCTTCTGTCCTTCCAGTTCCCTCAACTCCTTTCTGGGGTTCTCATCTCATCTCTTTAGCATTTCTTTGGAAGCATTTATGCCACCTTGCTCATATCCTGTGTTGATATCAAATGATTCTCAAGATTAGCTTTCTTCAACCTGATTCACTTGCTTTGGACTACAGCTGTTAGGATTCACAGCATCAATCTGAATTCTGGGGTTCAGTTTTGGCTTGTCTGCATGGGACCAGGTTTGTGAAAAACACTTAAAAATAGTGAATTAATTATAATGGGGCACACACACATATTAACATCACACCGTCAAGCCTTTTGCCATTCTCTGGCTAAGAAATCAGTCTGAGGCATATTGTCTTCAGGACTGTAGTTACAGCTTTTCGGCTGGTGTCGATCAATAATTTGATCTAGCCAGTGGTACAATGTTGTTCTTAGAAAATAGGGTTTCAACAGTTCCTGGTCAGTAGGCGTAGAAGGTTGGAGACACTGATCCCCAGCTTTATAGTCCAAGGTTTGTTGTACTCTGTGGTGCCATGCTTAACAGAAATAGTTAAGAAAAATGACATATGAGTCTTTTCCTTTGCTGGTCTGATTATTTGGCTTCTTATATTTACATTGAAACATAAAATCATAATTGTAAAAGACAAACTAGAAATAAAAATTAAAACAAGCAATAAAATATTAAGAGAACACCTGTCTGACCTTGATGAATATAAATCACCAGGACCTGATGGATTACATCCCAGAGTTCTGAAGGAGCTGGCAGATGTTATCTCAGAACCATTGTATCATATCTTTAAAAAACTTGGAGCACTGGATAACAACCAGAGAATTGGAAAAGAATTGATGTGGTTCCCATTTTCCAAAAATGAAAAAGAAAACTGGGAAATTACAGGCCAATCAGCCTAACATCAATACCTGGGAAGATACTGGAAAAAATAATCAAAAAACAGATCTGTGAATATCTAGAAACAAATAAAGATGTAACTAGAAGCCAGCACAAGTTTGTTAAAAACAGATCATGCCAAACCAATCTTATTTCATTCTTTGACCAAGTGACTAAATTAGTAGACCAGCGAAATGCTGTTTACATAGAATATTTAGACTTCAGCAAGACATTTGACATTTGACAACCTTACTTCTTGGTAAGTTAGAAAAATGTGAGCTAGACAGCATCACCATCAGATGGATGTGTAACTGGCTGACAAATTGTACTCAATGAGTAGTCCTTATGGGTACTGCATCTACATGAAGGGAAGTAAGCAGTACCACGAGGTTCTGTCTTAGGCCCAGTATTCTACAATATTTTCATAAATGATTTAGATGAGGGAAAAGAAGGGGAACTCAACAAATTTGCAAATGACACTAAGCTGGCAGGAATAGCCAACACTCCAGAAGACAAGCTCAGGATCCAAAAAGATCTTGACAGACTTGAACAATGGGCCCTATCCAACAAAAGGAAATTTAATGTGGAGAAAAGCAAGATTTTACACCTGGGCAGATAAAAACCAAAGGTACAAGTACAGATTAGGCGAAACCTGGCTCAAAAACAGTAACTGTGAGAGGGACCTTGGAGTCTTAGTAGACGATCATTTAAACATGAGCCAGCAGTGTGCAGCAGCAGCCAAAAAAGCTAATAGAATCCTTGGCTGTATAAACAGAGGCACAGAATCAAAATCACATGAAAGATTAGTGCTGCTTTATAAAGCCTTAGTAAGACCATAGCTGGAATATGGCATCCAGTTTTGGTCACCACATTACAAAAAAAGATGTTGAGGCTTTCTAAAAAGTACGAAGAAGAGCAACTAAGATGATTAAAACTAATCTTGATGACATTGTTCTTAAGAATTCTATATCAAGGGCCAAGTGATACCCCTATATAGAACTAGGATTTCCAAATGTGGAAGAAAAAATAATTTAGAAATCCAAACATTAAACTTTCAGGGACACTCCTAGTTGCTCAATTCTTCTTAAGAGCTACAAGAGATCTGCATTTATCCCAAAGGGGAACAACTCTGACTTTAAGATAATAATCTTCCCGAAAATTAAGATTAGACAGAAAAATATTTTCTATCTCTGTTTTTGTTTTCTTAGTCAATTTAAGACGATTCTCTTATATTTGAGGGCAAATTATTTGGGGAAAACCTCCTATTTATTTTGGGTAAATACCACAGAACAGGTCTTTTCAACCTTTTCACAGATTGTACCACTTTTAGGACATGACAATATTTGCGTACCAGCAGTACTTAGCAAGGTGTCAAAAACTTGATGACTAAAAAAAAGGGGAGGATTTTGGGCTTTACTGGTTAGATTCATTTGTTATTATAGAAATGGCTAGTTTATAATATTATGGAAATGTAAAAAGTTGAGGTTCAATGTTCATGCTTCCTTCCTACTGTAACGGTGGAACTCAGAAGTCTTTTTTTTTTCCTTCTCCCCCTCACTTTTCCCTTTTTCTCTCACCCTTCGCTCGCAATCCTCCCCTCACCCTTTGCTAGCAAAAGCCTCTTGCTTGCTCTCATTCACTCACACGTTGCTCGCACATGCTTCTCTTGCTCATTCACTCATGTTGCTTGTACAAGCTTCTCTCTTGCTCAATCACCCACGTTGCTCATTCACTCATGTTGCTTGTACAAGCTTCTCTCTTGCTCAATCACTCACACATTGCTCGCACAAGCTTCTCTCTTGCTTTCACTCACACGTTGCTTGCTCGACAAAGTTTCTCTCTTTCACTCATTCGTTGCTTGCAGAAGCCCCTCGCTCGTTCTTTCACTTACCCTTCGCTCGCAGAGGCCGCTCATTTGCTCTCTCGTTCGCTCGCATAGGTCGCTTGCTTGCTCTCTCCTTTGCTAACAAAAGCCTCTTTTCTTTTTCTCTTTCTCCGTTCACTCACACATTGCTTGCACAAGCTTCTCTCTTGCTCTCATTCACTCACATGTTGCTCGCAAAAGCTTCTCTCTCGCTCTTTTACTCACATGTTGCTCGCAAGAGCTCACTCTCATTCACTCACACGTTGCTCACAAAAGCTTCTCTCGCTCTCATTCACTCACGTTGCTTGACAAAGCTTCTCTCTTACTCTTTCACCCACATGTTGCTCACAGAAGCCCCTTGCTCACTCTTTCACTTACCCTTCGCTCGCAAAAACCGCTCGCACTCTCCTTCGCTAACAAAAAGCCTCTTCTCTTTCTCCATGTTTTTTTTCTCTCCTGACAAAACCTGCTCATTTTATAACTTCTCCTCTTTCCACCCTTCTCCTCCTTCTTTTCTCTTCTGGGTGCATTAGAAGCTCCAAACAGCATGCAGTCAAGTGCGCAAGTCCTGGCAGTTCTGCTGAGCCCTGCAGCTCCAGCTGGTCTCCTCCAGTCCTGTGTGGCACCACTTTAGCTCATTTCCTTCCCCACTACACTTGGCTAGGGGTTGTGTACCATCTGCCAGGTGCTAAAGTACCACTGGTGGTATGCACACCATCGGTTGAAAAGCCCTGCCATAGAATACTTTCCCCCACCATGTCTGACTCTAATGAGTTATTATTTTATGTTTTGGTTTCTAGGGATTTCTGGAGATTGGAAGAACCACCTGACTAAGGCACAGAGTGAATGTGTTGACCAAATCTACCAGGAGCGTCTGAAAGATTTAAATGTCACTTTTCCCTGGAACAAGGACTAAATTTGCCTTTTTCCAGTTGATTCCCTCCATTACTGGACTGAATAAAGACTTATCAGGATACTCATTCTCTAGTGCAAGACATAGATTAGTGGGAACATCTATGGGAGGTACAGGAGATATTCAGAGGGTTCTTCTGAATTTCATGGGAAAAGAATGGGACTAGGTGAGGACAATCATTAAGTCCAGGAAATCAGAGCTCAGGTAGTATGTGGGATGGGATGGATTAGATTCCAGAAGTAATCAAACTATAGTGCTGATATCTTGTCTCAATATATGGTTTTGAACATACATGGTGCTGAACATCTGAATCTGGCTAATGCCTAGATGGAAGATTAACCTACTATCTGTGAACCCCCTTATCCATGATGGAAACTGCATTGTGAATATAATATAATGAATAAAGTCAGGCGACCAATGCTTCTTTCTTTTAAAAAAGCACAGATGAACACATCTGCTCCTCAAACGCATCATTGGTTTCTGATTCCAGTTATCTTGGGGAGATAAGACCGACACCATTTTCTGAAGCTGTAGCCACCTGGGGTAGAACTTCAGGGAACAAGTAGAACATTTCCTGTTGCCATGACAGTTCTGCTCCTTTGTCATGGTAATAGGCCACCACATCTTGGCCCTGCCCCAACAGGAGACCAAGAGCAGACCAAGTATTTAAAGCAGGGGTGCACCACTTTCATTAGATCAAGGGTAACACTTGGCTATATTGGATTGGCATGCTGGATTTAGATTCAGAAAAGGGGGTTATGTCAGATAAAAGAACTGAGTTAATTGAGGGGGGAACCTTGAATGAATTTAAGTAGTATTAGAAATTCATGTCATGCAATTAACTCCTTAGTCCTTATATATTCAAGAATGTGGATTTTAGCTAAATCAGTGGTTCTCAACCTTTTTAATGCCGTGACTCCCCCAACCGGTCGTAAGTCGAGGATTACTCAACCGGTCGTAAGTCGAGGACTACTCAACTGATGCAGCACCGTTTGCAGAATGGGACTTTTGGCGGGCTCAGCAGGGCAGAGACAGCCTGGACAATTCCTATTGGCTTTTGAAAGCCAATAGAATTAGACTCTATTCAAGAGAGTCTATTCTATTGGCTTTCAAAAGCCAATAGAATAAAAGGGAGTAGCACAGCTAAGGAAAAGGGCAAAAAAATGGCAGACTGCGTTGTTTGGCGACCCCCGTGAAATGGTCGTTCAACCCCAAATGGGGTCCCGACCCACAGGTTGAGAACCACTGAGCTAAATCGACTTTACAGTTCAGAGGTAAATTTTGAAAGGATTCTGGGGGGGGGGGCACACCCATGTTTTGGGAGATACCTCTGACCCTGGGGCTGACAGCGTTACACTCCTCACTTGGAGATAGATAGGCAATGCTGAGAAAGATTCCTGGGGTGTCAAGAGGTTGCAGTAGAGTAAGGATCAGGAAAACTGAATTTTCTCAGCACAGGTGGTCCCCAGCTTATGACCAAAATTGAGCCCAACATTTCTGTTAAGTGAAACATTTGTTAAGTGAGCTTTGCCTGATTTTATAACCTTTCTTGTCACAGTTGTTAAATGAATCACTGCAGTTGATAAGTTAGTAACCCAGTTGTTAAGTGAATCTGGCTTCCCCATTGACTTTGCTTGTGACAAGATCACAAAAAGTGATCATATGACCTTGGGACACAACAACGGTCACAAATATTAGCCGGTTGCCAAGCGTTTGAATTTTGATCACATGATCAGGGGGATGCTGCAAAAGTTGTGACTGTGAAAAACGCTCATACGTCACTTTTTTCAGTGCCATTGTAACTTTGAACGGCCACTAAATGAACTCTTGTAAATCGAGGGCTGTCTGTACTGGAGCTTACAGAAGTAGATGCCATTATATCACAACAGGCCAGCTTTTGATGTCTTCCCCTTTTCTCTTGCCACCTTGAGCATTTTTCTAAGGGGCAGTTGTGGTTGTGAGTTTCTGCCTCTTAGACAACAGCTCTTCCCGCACTTTCAGAGTCCAGAGCTTTCACTAGGAACAAGTTTCACAAGAGGGCAGTAGAATCTATCTTTATGGATTTTCCCACCAGCTAAATCTTAGGCTGATTCATACTTAATTCTTTTTTTCCTCAGGTAATTCTATCTTACGGGATAACAGCTTTACACATAATTATTTCTGATGGCCCAGTTTCTCAGTTCTTGCTTTTTGCACCAGGAAATGACTAGCCCCATGGGAGCGGTAGTTAATAAGGTCACTCTAACCATTTATTTCTGATCTGCAGAATGTAAATCTTGAAATCCAGTAGGTGCTTCCTTTTCTAATGTTGGAAAAGTAGACCTTCATGAGGAAATTAAATTGCTGTGAATCCCGATATGCTAGAAGGCTAGAGCATACTCTATAGATGGGCAGAATGAATAAGGAACAAGCAAACCACAATTTCTTATCTCAGTCTTGCATTTAGGACCTGTTTACTCGACAGACTTACTTAGTTAAGCCTTGACACCCTCAGAAGCTGCTTCCTGGCCTTCAGGAAAGTCCTTACCTTAGTAGCTGAAAATCACTGTTTTGCGCTACAATCTAGCTATATATATCTATATCTTCTATATAAATAAACATGTAAATGTTTGTTTGTTCAAAATCTTAAATCTCCGAAAGTTCTTCACCAATTGCTTTGAAATTTTGACACAATGTTGCATTCGAATACGCGCATGTTTTTATATACCTATATTATATAGATGTCACACATGTGACAGGTAAAAACATGCTTTTTTAAAAAACAGCACCATCTGTTGGACATAATCTCTATATCTGCACACACAATGAAACAACAAAAAATATTGTATACCCACAAGCATTGTGAAATTAAACATATTACAAACGTGCGCTTTCTCTTTTCTTTCTTTTCCATTTAACCACAGTGAGCCACAGCAACGCGTGGCTGGGTACAGCTAGTTGTACATAAAAACCTTGCTTTGTTCATTTGTTACATTTCCATTGGGTCATTCTTCTACCAAAGTCAAGGTGGTTTATCCTTCTTGTTTGAGGTAGGTTAGGTTGAGAAATGTGACTGGTTTGAAGTCACTAGTGAATCCTGAGATGGGATGAGAATTCAAATCTGGATCTTCAGATGCTCATCCAACCCTATTTCTAATTCTGAGACAGGAATGGAAAAATTCTCCTTTGGATTCAAATGCGATGAAACTTTGGTGACTTCTCAGGGACACCACTGGTTATTTATTCCTGAGTTATGGAATTTGCTTTGTCTACTCTGTGCTTCCCCAAACTAGGAAACACAAACTCTAGATGGAACACTAGATAGTCACTGGTTTTGATGAAGGTAAGATAAACACAGAGATCACTGAGAAGTCATCCCAGCTCCTTGATCTGTGTTTCTTTTAAAACAACCATGATATGTGGACTTGAGGATCAGATTTTCTTTTTAAGTATCACCTTCAAGTGCCCGATATAAAATTGTCTACTGGTAAGTATTCAAAGATTTATCTTCCCAGTATTGTATCTCAATTAGCAAAGCTCAAGTCCTTCCATGCCAAAAATGATTTCTGAATTACTAAAACCATTTTTTTGCAATTATTTTGAGGAAAAGAAGTTCTGAATGAAAACGAATGAAAAACTAACAGGCAGAAATCCTCATGTGCTTATTACCCAGATATTGGTTGGCTAAACCAGTTCTGCCTTCAGCTCATCCTATTTTAAAACAGAGGTGAAAGTTTGAAATTGCCTTGCTTCCAAAATAAGAGCTTACCACTGCTTTGGCATTTAAAAATATATGTAATTATGGATATTTCAGCTGCATCAAATATTACCTCAGGAAAGCTCATTTTTACTTGCAGTGCTAAGTTAGATGTGTGAACAGGGTATTTAACTAAGAGGTTTGTGGTGGAGTGGCCAACAGATATGATTCTCAAAGAGGGCTGAGGTTTTTGTGGAGTGGATTGTGGTAGAGTTGCGAGAGGATTGTGGAGTGAATAGCAGATATGATTCTCACACAAGTGTTTGTGAACAGCAGGGCCAGTTTACTCTTAAGGGAAGAAGAGGCAGCTGCAGAGAAGCAGTGAGAAAGAAATGGAGAACACAGAGTGGGTATCACACGGTCTATCTGGCTCTATATTAGTTAGCAAAAAAGGCTATCCTGTGGTTTTGAAGTTGGGTTGATCTACCAGTTCAATCAGATTCCAGATGTATTATCTCAAGCAGCCAAAAACCCAGAGGGCCGAAGAGGGATCATTTCTATCTTTTTGATGCCAGATTATACCACATTGGTGAGTGGGTGGGTGTAAAATAATATTTTATCAATTGTTCGGGAGACTAGTAGAAGGGCATTATATAAAAATTTTAAAGCAAAAAGCCTATGGCTGTAGAGTTGATATATTAATTTTGTACTTGCAATGGTCCCCTTGAGTTTTGGTAGATATTTTTTTATCAGGATCGCCAACACCCAGTATAATTTGTGCATACAGTTCATCCATAAACAACTCTCCATGGAGCTGTTATAAGGAATCTTAATTCTGAACTGAGTAGGGGTTGTCATTGAAAAACTATTAAGTCTGTGTATCTGCTCAGAGTTTTATCTAGGAAGCATGAATAGGCTTTCTCTGTATAGGGTAGGAGGAAGGCACACTTTTGCTTGTGTGCATGTGTGCATGTGTGCGTGTGTGTGTGTGTGTGTGAGAGAGAGAGAGAGAGAGAGAGAGAGAGAGAGAGAGAGAGAGAGAAAATGTGATAGTGTGATCCTTGGTTTTCTCTTTGGTTGTTTTCTTGCAGAAAACAAAGCCTAATTAAGCAGCCACCTAGAACACTCATATAATACCGACAGGACAAGCCACAATAAAACCTGCTTCCTTCTAACACTGATGATATTACCTAGTTGGGTAATGAAACATTTGCAAGAAAAAAAACCAAGTTCAGACAGCACCAAGGACCCCACAGTTCAACCCTCAGATACAAATATTCTCTTCTATCGATATGTGAGAATTGCAGTTTCCTATGTATGCATGCATATGCATGATGTACAGTATAGGGGTGTGCATGTAAATATAAATATATTCCTACTTTGGGCTTGCAGGCCCACCCCACAACATCAAAAAAGGGGGCAGCACTTCAATCATGCAGTTGCAGCCACCAATTTTTCTTGGCCCTTCTTGAATATCTGTGTAACCATTTCAACATGGTGTGAATTGGGCCCTGCCCCTTAAAAGTGACAGATTAGGCCCTTGCCTCAATGAAATAATCACTCCAACGAAAACAAAGCTTGTTTGGAAAACCAGTGTTTTTCTTAAGTTAATAATACTCATCAATATTCAAAAGGTGGGTTCGTTTGGCAATAAAAATATTCCCTCTCCTGTTTTACAGTTAGGGCTGTTGAAGGCCATTTAGAATGAAGTGATAAGCACAGATCCCTTATTTTACTGGTTCTCTCAACCCTCCCCCCACCCCAGGATAGAGTAGGGAGGGAGATCATATTTGTTTTCCACCCCAGATTCTCTCAAGTTTTACCCAGATTAAAGTTCCAAGATAACTCTTCTTAAAAAGAACAATTGAAGCTTAGAGTTTGTGGGGTTACACCCATGTAATGCAATTCCCCCCCTCTTAAACTTCCTGAGATTCATGGCATTTTAAAATCTTGGAGAAAACTATCTCACTATAATTTTTAGTCCCAAGGCTCCTGTGGGTCTCAGAATGTCCCCCCAAACATATTGGAGTCTCACCAGGATATTATAAGGATGTTCCTCTGCATTTCTAAGGAAACATTCTAAGGCGCATTCAGTATTGGGAATACAACTGTCTGCCTGATACAGTTTAGTTCTGTATATAATTTGGAGTACATTGCCTCCACCTAATAGAGATTTTGAATAAATCTGATCTCCAGAACAGACAATCTTTGCATTGCCTCCTTTAGCAGGGAGGCAATGCAAAGATTCTAATCCTCACACTCCTGGATGCTCCCGCCTTCTTTAAATATTAGGCTATAGCACTGGGGGAGATGTGCCTTATTCTGCAAATTAATAGCCCTCATTTCATTGTTTAAGCTTTTGGCAACCCAACCCTATTGTGATCAAAGTTTTCCAAACACCCCAAGGCAAGAATTCCAGCCTGGTTCCCTGGTACCCCACATGTTGCCTTTCCCACAATGGAAGCTATGGCAATCATTCAGAGATGGGAGATTGTAGCTTCCTCAGTTGGACACTTTGAGCATTTTGAGCGACGGACACACTCAGACATTCAGGAGCTTGCAGCAAAACTACATGCCTGGTTTGGGAGGCTGTGTTCCATCAACTGCAAAAAAGAAGAGGAAGAGAGATGAAGAAAAGAATTAGCAACCACTAACTCCTTTGTTTCAACTGCATTCTCTAGGGCAGGGGTAGGCAACCTTGGCTCTTTTATGACTTGTGGACTTCAACTCCCAGAATTCCTGATCCAGCATGGCTCAGCATGGAAACCTCTCCCTTTCTCCTCAGCATGGCTGGCTCAGGAATTCTGGGAGTTGAAGTCCACGAGTCATGCTTGGCAACTGACTTGTATTTATGAAAATTTGCAGTGTCCCGGGGTCAAATGATCCCCTTTTGTGACCCTCTGACAAGCAAAGTCATTGGGGAAGCCAGATTCACTTAACAGCCATGTCACTAAGTTGAAACTACAGTGATTCGCTTAACAACTGTGGCAAGGAAGGTCATAAAGTGGGGCAAAGTTCACTTAACAAATGTCTCACTTAGCAATAGAAATGTTGGGCTCAATTGAGGTGGTAGGTTCAAGGACTACTTGTACCACGAGGCAGGAGTTCCTTCCTGAAATGAACATCTCACTGGTTCATCCCTTTCACTCTTCTTGCTCTAGCTTAAATAAGAAAGGAAAACTGACTAACTTGAGGTAATTTCACTCAAGCCCCTGCACTCGATCCAAAGAGGTGCCTTCTTCTAGCGCTTATAAGCATGACAGGAAAGCTTCAGCAAGCCAAAAACATCATGGTATTTTAGTCCAGGAAAAATGGGAGGTACATCCATACTGGGATAAGGAGGGGGGGGTGGGAACTGGCCTTTCTTCCTTTTCTTTACAGTTGTCAAGAAGTTTAAAGTTGTTTGTTTTCTTGTGCTTGCATTCTCATGTGCGCAACCATATATGCACACAAACAGCCTACTTGCAGTCTCTCCTGTTCTCCTACCAGCCTCCCGTCTTTCTGCCATTTCCCTGCTTTGGGTCATTTTCATAAGGCTGATTTAAAAAGAAACAAAGTGAATAAGTTAAAGAAAAATAGATAAAAATCTCCAAATGGTTCATAATTTTCCCAGTATAGCAGCCTAGGATGAAATGGACATGGAAGATAATGGTTAATGACTAGAGACATGGAGGTGTGTTGTTATAGCACACACTAGGTGTGTGTTCGCCTACAATGAAATGAAGCACAGAAGGCAGATGAACGATTGTCCCTTGTCCCTCCCCCCTTTTTGTGCCAACAGGGGTTGGAGAATGCTGCTTTTTGATATGTGGGTGAGGCCTTCCTGGTGGGCTCAGGATGGCTAGAGGAGGATAGCCCTTCATGGCATGGGTCCAGGCTACTTGTGGAATCATCTCACCCCACCGGGATTACCCCGTACCACTCGTGCCAGAGGAGGAGGCCTGCTGCGAGTCCCGTCAGCCTGAATATTCCAGCTGGTGGGGTCCAGGAAGAGGGCTTTCTCTGCTGTTGCTCCTGCCCTCTGGAACATCTTGTCCCCCAATGTGAGGTTGGCCCCAACCCTCCTATCTTTTCGTAAGGGACTAAAGCAGGGGTAGGCAACCTTGGCTCTTTTATGACATGGACTTCAACTCCCAGAATTCCTGAACCAGCATGGCTGGCTCAGGAATTCTGGGAGTTGAAGTCCATGAGTCATAAAAGAGCCAAGGTTGCCTACCCCTGGCCTAAAGACTTGGCTCTGCCAGACAGTTTGGGGCACCAGTGGGGGAACAATAGAGCTGGTTGATTGAGTAGTAAAAGATCCCACCTCCCCCCACCCTCCCCATGTGTCTTTGTTTTAATGTTTGTTTTTATTTTTTTATTTTTTAGCTCAGTGGTTCTTAATCTGGGTGATATTGCTCCCCAGGGGGCCATTTCGTTTTTCAGGGGGGCAATGGAACGAAAAGGGGTGACGCGGGGGCAAAGGAATGAAAAGGGACAATATGGGGGCGATGGAGCAAGAAGATTTGGGAACACTTTTGAGCCTTCTCCTGCGGCTCCGAGCCTCCTCCGCCATTTGCAGAAAGAGACAGAGACAGAGAGAGGCACTTGTGCTTCTCTCTCTCTCTCTCTCTCTCATGCGGATTTGCCCCCTCGCAGGGTTCCTGAATGGCCCTGCGCCCGGGTGCCCTGCCACCTGGGAGAAGCATGGCCAGGAAGTCCATTTCCCTGGCTGGCCCCGTCCGAGGTGCACGTGGCTGGGGAACCACGTGGGGAAGCCCCGGGATCCCTGCTGGGACAGCCTGCCAGAGCCTCAGCTGAGCGGGCCAGCCTTCCTGCAAGCCCCAAGGGAAAACAGCCCCTGAGATCCCCAGCTGCGGAACCGTTGGCTCAGTTGGTCGGAGTCCCGGCTACTTTGTCGGCGAAGAATGTGAGGTGAGCAAATGGGGGGGAATAGAAAGGGAGGGGGGAGGCATTTTCCAACCAGCAGCAGAGAGCCCCGGCTGGACCGGCAGGAGTGCCTCCTCCTGGGGCCTGGCGCTGGCTTCCTTGCCCTCCTCCTCCTCCCCTTCTTCCTCCTGCTGCCCCCTGGGTGGCAGTCCTGGCTGGGGTGGCGGCTGGCAGGGGCATCGTTCCCTGGACGATGCTGGTGGGTCGCGGATCAGCAGGAGCGCCGCACGGTGCAGAGTGGCCCCAGCTCCTCCAGCACGACAGACCTACCGGCAGCATGGGAGGCTTCAGCATTGGTCCTGGCGGGAGGTGGATCATTGCTCCAGTTCCGACCGAGGATGCCGGCGGCGCGGGAGAAGGTTTGGCAACGCAGCTGATGAGGCGTTCCGCGGATGCCCCACGACTTAAGCCTAGGGACGCCAGCGGCGCGAGGGGAGGCTTGGCGATGCATCTGACAGGTGGGGCATTCCGCAGATGTCCCGTGGCCCCGAATTGAGCCCGGGACATCAGTGGCATGTGGGACAGCCTGCCAATGTGACCGTGAGCTGGGGCCTCCCCGCAGGCCTGGCGGGCAGCGGAGCTGGGTGCCTCCAGCTGCAACAGGAGGTCTTCTGCTGCCTCCTGCCCCCTCCCCACCCCTTCGGCACCCTCTGCCTTTCATTCTCTCTCTCTCTCCTCACCTGGAGAAAGAAGGGGGGAGGGAGGGAGAGGAAAGAGAGAAAGAGAAGGGAAAGAGGAAAAAAAAAAGAGAGAGAGGAAAGCGAGAGAGAGGAAGCACAAATGCCTCTCTCCCTCTCTCTCTCTCTCTCACACACACACACACACTGAGTGGAGGAAGAGGACTGGCAGACCAAGGGCAGAAAGAGGGAGAGAGAGGGAGGGAGGGAGGGAGGGAGAGAGAGAGAGAGAGCTTTTAGACATCTAAAATGAAAATAACACTGAAGATATATATATATATATATTGAAGGTAAAAAAGGATATATGCAGTGTTATCTTTATTTTAGATGTCAAAAGGGTTTTGCGGCTCCCAGTGTTTTGTTTTCAGTGGTCATTACATTTAAGTGTCTTGAATAAATAAGATAATAATGAAATACATGTATCACAAAGTTTGGCAATTAAGTGACGGGTGGCACCAAAACCTTTTACACAGTTGAGATATGGGAAAAAACTGGGAATAAATTATTTGCATCATATGTCCTGATAACAATTTTAAAGAAAACAAAAAAAGGGTTTGCATAAATTGAAGAATTATTTCCTATGTTGTGATTGAGAGGTTATGTTGGGGGAGGGGGGCGATAACAATTTCCTCATTGGCTCAAGGGGGCGATTCGTTCCGTGCAGTGCTCCTGGCGATCCGCGACCCTCCAGCATCACCCAGGGAGTGATGCCCCTGCCAGCCACCGCCCCAGCCAGGACTGCCACCTGGGGGGCAGCAGGAGGAAGAAGGGGAGGAGGACAAGGAAGCCGGCGTCGGGCCCCAGAGGAGGTGCTCCTGCAGGTCCGGCCGGGGCTCTTCTGCTGCTGGTTGGAAAATGCCTCCCCCCTCCCTTTCTATCCCCCCCCATCTGTTCACCTCACATTCTTCGCCGACAAAGCAGCCGAGACTCCGGGCATGACTTCCTGGCCAGCTGGGCCAATGGTCCCGTGGCTGGGGATCGCAGGGGCTGCTCTCCCTCGGGGCCGTAGCTTGCGGGAAGGCTGGCCCGCTCAGCTGAGGCTCTGGCAGGCTGCTCCCAGAGGGGAATCCCCAGGCTTCCCCGGTTTCCCGGCCACGTGCACCTTGGACAGGGCCAGCCAGGGAAAGGGACTTCCTGGCCGTGCTTCTCCCAGGGGCAGGGCAGCCGGACGCAGGGCCATTCAGGAACCCTGCGAGGGGGCAAATCCGCATGAGAGAGAGAGAGAGAGAGAGAGAGAGAGAGAGAGAGAGAGAGAGAGAGAGAGAGAAGCACAAGTGCCTCTCTCTGTCCCTGTCTCTCTCTGCAAATGGCGGAGGAGGCTTGGAGCCGCAGGGGAAGGCTCAAAAGTGTTCACAAATCTTCTCGCTCCATCGCCCCCATATCGCCCCCTTTTCGTTCCTTTGCCCCCGCGTCACCCCTTTTCATTCCATCGCCCCCCTGAAAAATGAAATCGCCCCCTGGGGGGCAATATCGCCCAGGTTAAGAACCACTGATGTAAATGACAAAAATCAAAATATGTTTTAACTGTTTTAAATAATTCAATTGAACTGTTGAATTGTCCCGCAGCAAGTTGTCCTGTGGTGAGTTGACCAATGCCAGTTGTCTCCCAGCGAGTTGATTGTGACAAGTTGCCCCATTCCGCCAGAGTTATCCTATGGTAAGATGGGTGGCCAATAAATATTATAAACAAACAAACAAACAAATAAATATCATATTCTAATGGTTGGTCTTTGCATTAGGCAAGAAGGACAAATGGATAAGTCCTAGGCCTGTTGTCACTGGTCTTACAAAGGCTTTTGAAATCTGACAGGTTTATTCTTGATGGTGCAGAGTCATCAAAATATTCTATACTACAGGGGCCCACAAATTATTTCCCAATTGTTCTTATTTTCTGACTGGGATAAACCATTTTACTTCCCCAGTTAAAGGACAAAATAAACTCCCCCCTTCCCAATTGCATTTATAAACCAATTGGATTGTCTATTCAAGGTGATAACGTTGATGGTGATATGGTGACATCTGAGAGCAGCAGTTTAGCTTATATATTTCAGGGCACATCCCAGAGTGTTATAGTTCAAGATCTGGTCTGCAAACATATGGATGACCACTAGGTAGTGTTAAAGTGTCAAGAGTTCTTGCATCTCTTTCCTGCCATCTGATTATTTTCAGCCCAAATACAATAGCTATGAAAGCTGGGGTGGGGGCGGGGAACTCAGATTGCTCAGCCCTGAAACTCCCAACTTATTTTGCATTAGCCCCTACCACTCAACCAAATAAGGGACTTGAGAGGGTAAAAAGGAAAAAGATCTTCCAGTTTGAGCAACTTTAGGAAAACTTAAAAAAGAAGAGAGACTCAAAATAAAGAAGTGGAATGGGAGTGTAGTGGAAGAGCTCTTCGTATGGGATTCCAGGGTCGCATACCATGTAGCCTGTAGGAGGCTCCTTTGCAACGTTTAGTGGGGCGCCGTGGGTCTCGGTTGCCCCGAAGGCTTCGGTGTAAAAGGGGCTGGAGAGGTCTTGAGTTGTCACTCATGCTCCGGAAAATTTGAGAAGGGAGGTTCTGACTGAGAAGACGAAGGGAGTGAATCTGAAGAACAGAGGGATGGGAAACAAGTGCTCAGGAATGGTGGAGGACACCAGGACAGCAACAGGGTCAAAGAGAGCAGGGGAAGGCAGGGAAATGACAAAAGGGAGGTTAAAGAGACTTTGTCCAGGATTGATGCGTCCTAGGGTCCTACCTGAACGGAGGTAATATTGATGGGACGGTCAATGAGAATCCAGGTTACTGTTTCGTAGCATGGAGGGGTTGACATGGATCCTTGGTAAGTGATAAAACCAAATGTCTCTGGATAAAGGTCTTCCAGGCTCAGATCGTGTAGAAGATAAGCATCATCTGTTGAAATAGATATCATGGCTACCTTAAGAAGGTGGGCAGAATTCTGCTAATAAAATCCATTTAGTTACCGGTTGTGATCTTTCTGACACTTTCAAGAAACTAATGAATTGGTTAGACCTTGGTATCTGAATATAAATCTTTTAACATTCATATTTAATTGTGTTTTTTTAATCTAGGTGAAATGTTAATATATTCTGCAAGTCCATGTATGATATGCCATATGCTAAATAAATAAATACTAATGAATAACCCGGTGATGGCAAACCTTTTAGAGACCGAGTGCCCAAAAACTGGTCCTGCCCCCGCTCCACCCCCTGCCCTGCCCCCACTCCGCCCCCCCATCCCCTACCCCCGCCTGCCCACAGGACCACTCACCGCCTCCAGGGCCCGCCACAGATTGCCCAGGCAGCCCAGCAGCGCTGTGGCGGTCACACCCTCTGCCCGCGCCCTGCAGCATCAACTATATGATGGGGTGTGAGGGCAGAGTCTTGTCTACGCTGCCTGGCTGCAATATCCTTGACTGTGCTGCTCCGTGTGGGCCACGTTTGAGGGCGACTCTCTTTCAGGGGGGCTGCTGGAGAGGAGGGGGTCGCGAGGAAGGCAAGGCTGGGGCAACAGCACGTGTGCCCACAGAGAGGGCTCCGAGTGCCGCCTCTGGCACCCATGCTATAAGTTCACCACCACTGGAATAACCCATCGAAAGTAGCAGTTCTACTATTTGACCACAGAATCATATATTCAAAACCTTCATGCTGTCATATTGAACAGTCTTTTCCACCCTAAATCTTTTGTTGAAGTAAAGAAGTTACTGGATACAGTCAAGCTTTGCTAACATCAATATTCCAAGAGGAATCCTTGTGTGTATTAATTCCCACTTAGTCCCCTCCAGTCTTAAAAATTTTTCTCAGCCACTTTTGCAAACAGCTTCCTTATATGATCCACATCTTTCATACTTGCTCCACTTACTCTTATAGGAGATCCGGGTAATTGTTTCTCGGTTTAACAGCCTGGTCAGGAAAGAGTTAGGATTTGGTCCAATCTGCAAGTGGAAATCCATCCAAGGTATTGTTCCTTGCTGCCTAAATTCCCATCTCCCCTTGCCCCACCTGATGCCCCCTTGCTGTCGCAGCAATGCACTTACATTGGCAAAGATAGAAATGACAGCTAAACCATTGGGATTGCGCGAAGCCTCAGAAATATTGGGGTAGAGTTCTTGGTTGTAGTGGATCAACTGTACCTAAGGGAAAGGACAAAGGAAAAAGTGATTCTTTCCAATTCAGTTTTACTTAGTAAAAGTAATGTCACAAATGGCTTTGGAGCCAGGCTATTTGAAAGACTGCATCTCCCCTATTACATCCACCCTGCTCACCAGGATGGAAAGTTAAGGGTATGTTATAGGCCCCATCTAGTAGAGATATACATCTGGTGAAACCACGAAAAAGGGCCTTCTTGGTGGTGGGCCTCTCTAGGGAACATCATTCTCCCCAATGTATGATTGGCCCCCACCCTGTTGCTTTTCCAAAAGTTCCTGAAGTTGTGGTTTTGTCAGGGGGCCTGGGCATTAAAAATGGAGATATATCCCATCAAGATGATAATAATAATAATAATAATAGTAGTAGTAGTAGTAGTAGTAGTAGTAGTAGTAGTAGTAAAGTTGGAAGGGACCTTGGAGGTCATCTAGTCCAACTCCCTGCTCAGGCAGGAAACCCTATACCATTTCGGACAAATGGCTGTCCAGTCTCTTCTTAAAAACCTCCAGTGTTGGAGCATTCACCGCTTCTGGAGGCAGGTTGTTCTACTGGTTAAAAGAGGTTGATTTGATTGTGTTGTTGATGACACGGATGGGTTGGGGTTTCGTGGGTTTTGATGTTGTGAATTTTTAATGTTGTGAACCACCTAAAGTCACCTTTGTATGAACTGGCTGGTCATGTACATTTGTTTAATAAATAAATATTTATTTACCTTGTTTGGCTGTCAAATTCAATTCAATAAGCTTCAGAACTGTTAACAATTTATATCTCTTCTTAAAGCATACTTCTTGAAACTTTCGTTTTTGTTTACAGTTTTGCTTAATTCAGTTATTGCAAACAATTCTTCCTAATATGGTGCATTTTTGTACTATCATGGTCTGGTATTAAAAGTTCTCATTAGATGAAGACAAGGAGCAAGAGGAAACAAACCACATGCAGCTAAGCCCAACAATAATTCTGAGTTGATTTGTGGTACTGCTTACCAAAAATTGTGAGATAAATTTGCATTCTAATACAAGCAAAACTAATTTTACCTCAGTACCAGTATATATACACTGACCTTGTTTGCATAACCTATTTAAATGACTGAGGCTAATGGGTAGCTGAACACTACAAAGCAGCCAACTGCAGAGCTACGGGAGATTAATTTTAGCCCAATAAAGCCCTGAGGTTGTTTCAAACTAAACTAATGCTTCCTCAGCTGAGTCATGCAAACAAAAAAGAGGACTATCAGGAGGTAAGCTACCCTCTCTTCTTGCTCCCAACAGAAAGGCAAAGTCCTAGAGTGACCAATGTAAAAAAGGGACTTTTCCAGGATTCTCCCTCCCTCCCTCTTTCTCCCTCTCTCTTTTCTTGCTACCCTTGCCATCTTGCAGATTTTGACCACTCTCCCCCTCCCATCAACACCCCTGACAAAACTTTACGTAAATCTGCAAAAGACCCCTTCAGTGGTGTTGCTCCTGTTTGAACGAGAGTTGTATTCACCTCAGCAGAAAAGCTGTCGCCATCTATCCGGTGTTCTGAGCCAAATCCATCTTCACTGCCAAAATGCAGCCGTATTTCTTGGAGCCGGTGACTGTATGGCAGAGGTCCTCCTGAAACATTAACCAGCTGTACTGGATCTGGACGAAAAGAGACATGTCGGCCTGTGTTGTACATGGTTCCACTAATCTGCAGGAGGAGACAATAGTGACAACAGTTTCCACACAGTTTCACTTATAGGATATTCAGATAACTTTCCAGTTGCCATCCCAGCATCTTCTGCAAAACGTTTCCTAAAAAGGGAAGGTCGATGATTGGAGAGAAGTTCTTTACCAGTGCTGGATCAAAAGGGAGCATCATCATCATCACTTATTTCAAGGAAGCAGGCATCACTATCTTCCTCAGGGGCATTAATCATCTTCCAAATCCAACTGTTTATCCTACCTTTAACAGTCTGAAGAAGCCAGGCAGCTGGTCAGTCTCCAGCATCAATCTGAAAAGTTGGAGACTTCCAGATCAACTTGAAGACCATGTCCTACTGCCTTCTATCAACATAGAATGAACACGAGCTGATTTTATCAATGAAATGTTTAGCATACTTGTTGTGGCGCTCCCAGAGGGCATCTCCGGTCCTATCGTGCCCCCAAAAGGTTGCCTTAAAGAGGGCCAGTTTAAGGCATAGCCAATTCACCGCGACCAACTTGCCACAGGACAATTCACTGAGGACAGTTCAACAATTCAATTTAATTATTTAAAATAATATTTTAATTTTTGTCCTTCACATTTTATTTTGTCCCTCCTTTGGCATCCTTTCTTTACTAATTCTGTTCATCCACTTCTTCAGTATTAGTGTAACTCTTGTCCTGCAGCGAATTGGTTGTGCCACTTTTATCACCATATGTGGCCCTGAACACAACCTTGTTTTGTTGTTTTCTGCCACCTGCATTTCAGCCAACATTTCTGCTGCTTCACCTCCCAGGGTTCCTTGATGACCATGGAGCCCTGCCAGGCTGTGAACTGAAGAGAGGATTTATATAATACCCTCATGTCCTCCATATTCCAGACATTAATGAGGGACATGACTGAACTTCCCTCCATAGCACTGTTTGCAGGGAGGGGTGAGAAGAAACTAAGTGCCTGTTGGAAGCTGAGTGGATCTACAATACAGGTGACAAACTCAATCATGTCACGTGATGTATCATGACGTATTGCGACATTTTTTGCCTTTGCAGAGCCGGGGTGGGTGTGGCCTGCGCGTGATGCATCTGGCCCATGGGCCGCCAGTTTGACACCTCTGAGCTACAATAATTATTACTAATACTGATGATGATGATGACATCTATTAAAAATCAACTCCTTCCACACTGTTGAAGGCTAATGCTCCTTGCAATCTGTTTCATGGTCAGGAACATTTCAAGTAGCACCTTCTCTACAGATCAACTTCCTTTTATGTTTGTATCTTGACAGCTGAACTTCGTTTGGTTTCAGATCATAAAATGGGTGTCTAGGATAATTTTGCTGCTAAACAAACCCAGTTTATGGTTCACCATGACCTCTGAAGAGACCCAGTGCCCCTTGAGATGTGACAAAAACAATTGGCAGCATTCTGGTGAGGGCAGAGAAGATGTAATTTCTTTCCCTGACTGGGAAAGAAAACTGGGATAATTGGACTTACGAAACTCTCCAAACCCTAACTTGGGTTTAACAAAATGCAGTTGCTGTAGTACATAAAATATTATATCAAAAATGTTGGACTTGGAGATGACTTCCAGTTCTGCTTCAGCCATACAAGGTCCCTGCGGGATTTGGGGCCAGTCCCTCTCTCTCAGCCAACCTGCCTTATAGGATTGTGATTGTGGGGAAAAATAGGAGGGAGTGTTACATATACTATCTTCAGCTCCTGAAAGAATGGCAGGATATACAAATAGTCCTTGACTTACAACCATTTGTTTAGCGACTATTCAAAGTTACAATGGCATTTTAAAAATGACTTATGACCAGTCCTCACACTTATGACTGTTGCAATATCCCCAGAATTATGTGATCAAAATTCAGGCACTTGGCAACAGGCATGTATTTAGAACTGTTGTAGCATTCTGGAGTCCTGTAATTGTCGTTTATATCTTTCCCAGCTGGTTTCCAACAAACAAATCTTTGACTCCGGGAAGCCAGATTAACTTAACAACCACAGGATCCACTTAACTGCATTGATTTCCTGAACAATCAGGGCAAAAAAAGATTCTAAAATTGGGCATGACTCACTTAACAACCTTCTTGCTTAGCAACCAAAATTCTGGTCTCAATAGGGTTGTAACTCGAGGACTACCTGTATTTCCCCATTATTGCTGGAATGCCATTCTTTCCCCATAGCCTATTTCCAAAGAAATGAACCTTGGAGCAAACAAAGCATCTTTAGGAATTCTGAGTCCATGGAGAATTGGGAAGGAGCAGATATTCCCAGGACTTTAGTGGATTTCTCTTTGCTCACACTTTGGGGAGGAGGGCGAAACAAAAGGGTCGATCTCAGATTTTGTCACCAAGTACGGTAATATGAGAAAATCTGGAATGAATTCAAACGTTTCAATGCTGAGTGAAGTTACTTGCACTTAGGTGCTCCAGAAATTAGCCATTAGTGCAACTTATTTTTTTTTTACGATAATAGCTGCACTCCTGATCACCGATGCTTGCGAGAATAGTCTTCCCCAACCTGGTGCCCTCCAGAAGGCTTGGAGAGGCAATCCCCCGATTCCAGCTTCAGTCAAAGAAGGCTGAGCTGGGAATTATTTTCCATCAACCTTAGAGACCAGTGTGTGCATCCAGACGCACCTTTTTTCCACCAATACTGAGCCGAAGTGGAGGGAGGAAGGGATCAAAAATCATTTGACTTGTGTTGACATCCACAGGAGACTGGCGTTTGCCAATGGCACAGAGGCTCCATGCTGAATTCACCAGACCCCAGAAGGGAGGACCTAAAGAGAGAGAGAGGGAGAGGGAAAGGGAGAGAGGAGAGAGAGAGAGAGAGAGAGAGAGAGAGAGAGAGAGAGAGAGAGAGAGAGAGAGAGAATAAACATATTCTGTCAGCCAAGGAAATATTTTTATCCCTGGCTCTCTAGGGTGCAATTACAGACAAGGGAGAGTGTTGGCATCAGGGGAGCCATTCAGCAAATGCACCTCTGTGTATGTGTTTGTGCGTGCGTGTGCATTTGTTTGAAAACAGCCTCCAATATGTGTGGGCGGCTGAAGGAAGATTACAAGCACTTCAGTGTGCTTCCTCCTCCTCTGGTTGCATCTGTGCACATAGCTAATGTAAAGAACCACAACACAGAAGAGAAGCTGGATGGAACTGCAAATCAGTGTAGGATTAAATCCCATGCACTGAAGGACAGCAATGGGGCAGGGATGCTGGAAGTGGCCACAGCCTTTCTTGATCATTTCTGAGCTGCCTTAGGAGATATTCCTGAATAGGCATGATATTGTTGTAGCTGTTCTTGGGTTCTCAGGCAGTCCCAAACAGATACTCCCAGTTCTGCTGACTGCAATGTCCATCCTCCCCAGCCCAACGATCATAGGAGCCCTAAACCACCAGGATGGGCAAGACTGTGTTATTTTGATAGAATGCAAATTGTCATCAGGTGGTGCATTAGAATCAATACACACAAACTGTATACACTGAAGTAAGTGTGTGCCTGCACAAATACAGAGATTTTTAGTAGCCTCCTTCACTCTGGGGAAAATGTGTATGCACACCATTTAGTCAAACTATGTTTCTAGGCTGTCTTTCCTGGGCATACTTCATTTTTGTATGTGTGTTTGCCAGCTTGTTTCAGTCTCAGTCCCTCAATGGTTCTGGCAGATCTTTGTATCATCATCTATATGTGTACACTTAATTATTTATTTTTTCCTTTCCAATGGGCTTTTTCCACATTCCCCCAGGCAGGTCGAGAGGGTGGGGTGATGGAAGAAAAGAATCCTGTGGCTTTGTGCCCCACACTCACAAGCCCACCCCTTCAGCCCAGCCACCCACCCACCCATCTACTGTGTTTCTCTTCGCCTCCTGTTCGCTGCATTGCTGGAACAAGCAAGGGAGATATTAAATATTAATGCAGCCTCTTGCAGTTGCCAAGCTGAGCCCAGCCCCCACCTTAGCTCTGCACTGTGTACAGCTGCGGCGCAGTAGCGCTCTCCCCCAGCCACGTCCCCTCCCTCACAGGAAGACCACAACGTTTCTCTTCCTCTTCCTTGGCACCACCACCCTTGGGACTCTGCGCGGCATCCCCAGCCTTCGACAGACAGAGGGGGTAATTGGTGAGACAGCTGTTCTCCTCTGGCCTTCCCTTCTAACGGGCTGCCTAGAAGGGGAGCCAACATCCCGCGCTGAGGAAACCCCATTCCTGAGCTCAGAATAAATTATGCAGATGTGCTCCAATTTGCGTGGACTAAGCCTGCCTAAATGAAACGGGGAATTGGTTTTCCCCATCACCATGTCTGGAAGTTTGGAAGAAGCCAAGAGCCCTGGAGGGGAAGGAGAAAGGGAAGGTGATCTACTCCTGGCTGAGAAATGAGATGGAACAGGAATGAGAGGGAGAAAAGCTATCAATGCTTCCAAACAGAAGGGTGAGAAACCAACCAACCGTCTATTCCTGATCAAGGGGAGTATTCCCTCATGCTCAAAGGAATCTGTGGGGAGAAGGTCCCAAAAATCAATATTGTGGCCACCAGCACGTAATCAAAATATCACTCCTTTTTTATGTCTGTGGCAACTGTAGCATAATATAAAAGCATATGATTATGGCCACCATCTTAAATTTGTTGTCCCTCTCCCTGCACAACACCCCTGCCTGCACCCCATCCCCACTATTATCAGATGCTGATTGCCCTTGGACACACTCTTTTATGTCAACTGATGAGAGGTAGGCACGCCTTTCTATTAAATAAAGGATGTGTTGAATTTATTAAAAGGCCAGTGTAAAAGACTGCGTTGGTTCTGACTGAGATATGGCAAAAAAGCAAACTTTGAAAATTGGGTTTAGGAATGTCATCACAGGAGCAAAAATTCTTAACTTAGAAGGTGATCCAATCAGAGCAATCCAATTCCTTTATCAGCCTGCTGATCTGTCATCTCTCTCATCATACATTTGGTCATTTTCTATATACTTCGATTTTGAACTATCTGCAGATATCAAATTGCCTGCCAGGTCAGAGGATTTTAATCTTTCCATTTGGCCTTCTTCATGACAATTCCCCATTCTCTCCCCACCCTTTTTTTTTTTTTTTTTTTGAGGTATGTTTAGAAGGATCAGGGTAAGGGGTCGTTTCTGGCAGTGATGCTAAAGGCTTGCAGGCCAATGTGACAGGCCTTATAGTGGCCTAATGCATCAGCAATCAGAGGAATGCCTCATTATCATGGAAGCATCCCCCAGCTTGGGCATAAATAGAACCATTTCCCCCAAAATAAAATTAAACATTTAAACTAATACACAGTTTGTCTTCTTGGTCCCTCTAACCTTCCATAATGGCAAGTAAAGCTAAAGGGATTTTTTTGTTTTGTTTTTTGGAGTCACGGTTGACTCCTAGTGACTTTATGGGAACTGCCATATCAATATCTTGGCAATGATACTGAAGTGGTTGACCATTGCCCTATCTTGGAAGCCTTTTTTTGACTTTCCAGACTAGCCAAATTCCTTAGAGCAGGGGTCTTCAAACTTAGCCCTTTTATGACTTGTGGACTTCAACTTCCAGAATTCCTCAGCCAGGCACGTTGGTGAGGAATTCTGGGAGTTGAAGTCCACAAGTCATAAAAAGGCCAAGTTTGAAGACCCCTGCCTTAGAGTTTCCTGATAGTCTGTTCTGCAGATACAAGCCATGTCCAACTCTGCTAAACCTTTTGAAATTAGCCAAATTTGGCTTAGTGCTGCCCCCTAGCTAAGCGTTAAGAATGTATGAAGCTCCTTTAAATCATTTTAAATGATTGGGTCATTTGTCCCCATACCAAGTAAAATCCAAATGTGTTGGTCTACATTTCCCAAAATTTCCATGCCATCAGGGAATCTTGGAAAGGATTGTCCAGCACATCTGGATGGCACCCTGTTAGAAGTAACATCTGAATTTCCAGCATAAGTTTTCTTATCAATCACTCTTTGAATCTTTTAGCTGGATTTCTGAATTCAAAACAAATATTTTTTTGCTGAACTCTCTTTGAAATCATCAGTCAAAGGAAGAAATATCAGTTCAGATTCAGATGCTGATCTTTGCCATATCCTGTGGCTGTAAACCATATAGCATTGGTCAATAGGATGTAGTAAGAAAAAAATAAAGACATTTATTAAACATGAAGGATATTCACTGGCCTCAATACATGTTTTGGTCACAAGAAATGTCTCCCTCATGAAGAGGTCACAAACCTGGAAGGAACATCTAGGATGATGGCATCTAGAGGGCATCTAAAGAAGACAAGCTATTCTTGGTTCTTTGGAGCGTTCTCCACTACCACTATCCAGGCATGGAGAATTTTGTACCTGGCACAAAGCTTCCGTGAAGTGTTTCCTTGTATGCCCACCAGTCCTCGTAGGTCTTTGCAGGAACAAATTGCACTAGAAAAGGAGGAAGGAGAGGAAGATGGATGGAAAAATGGTAAAACAGCAAAGGCAATTGGTAAGAGGACAGGAGCATATATCTTTCTGTTTATCATCTCATAAAGATTATCTAAACTTCTTTTCCTTCTCTTTGTCCTTCCTGAATAGACAGTCCAGAACTCAAAAACTGCAAATGCTGAAATGTTAAGACAATAGATAGATACTCAGACTGGCAGGTTATATCTCCAGCCACTGGAAACCTGTAAGATGAGGACAAATCAAAGCTGCTCTTCAACAGTAGGGAATATGGAGAAAGATACTTCACATGCTCAGAGACACCTTTGCCTCTCCTTTGGTGCCATTTCTTCAGGTCATGCCCTGAGGCTGAGACAGAACAGCACAGTCTGGGGAGCAATTTAAGCTGTGGCTGATCAGGTGTTGGAAAAGATGCATTTACAGTAGATAGATAAAAAGCGAGAGAGAAGGGAAAGAACGTGACAGAGAAATTTCCCCCTCAGAACTGATTTTATCTCCGATTAACGGATGTCCATAAATGAGGGGGCAGACGCACTCCCCTGCTCACAAATATGAATGAAAAAAAAAAATTGGGCAGGTGAGGAAGAGTTACCCCTGACTGGGATTCCACTGGGACTGGCTTCATCCTCTTCCAGAGAAATCCCTTTCTTTTTACAACAAACAATTCAATCTCTCCCCCCCCCAGCCAAAAAAACATTCCAAGCCAATCTCTCTCTCTCGCCCCCTCCCCACTTTCTCTCTCTCTTACCAGCCATACAAGTTGCTCTCAGCACCAGCAGCAGCAGCAACCCCGGCGCTCCCAGCAGGCAGAGCCCTCTGCCAGGTCCGGTCCACATCCTGGTAGGTCAGGAGGGGGCTTAAAGCCTGAGCGGCCCCCTCCTCAGCATCCCGCAGCAAAGACCCCCTTCACAGGCTCCGGAGACAGGCGGAAGTCGAGCCTCCTGGCGGGCGGCCCTTATGCACCCAGCGAGCGAGCCCTCATCCTCGGAAGCCCCCTGCCCTTTCCATGCCCTCTCGCTCTCCCGCTCCCTAGGTCTCTTTCCTCGACGCCTCCATCTTCCTCCTCCCGCCCTTTCTCCCGGGGATACCACCAACTCCCCTCCCCCCGCCGCCCACGTCAATTAGATGCGGAAGATGCTCGGGTGGTGTCCGGGGAGGCGAAGGAGCTCCGGCCGTGAAGAGTTTGCACAGCCGGGGTGGGGGTGGGTGGGAAGAGCGGGTGGAAGAGCTGCCTCCCCTCCGCCGCCTCGTCCTCTCTCTCTGCCCCCCCCCAGGCGCCGGAGTGGCGGGACTGCCCGCTCCGCGGCTAGGGTCGCTGGGGCTGGATCTGGAAGGTGGCGGGAAGAAGACGCTGCTGCCCGCGAGGCGTCCTTAACTTTACTTCTTTCTCGCTCTCTTCTCTTTTCTTTCTTTCTTTCCCACCGCCTCTCCCTGCCTCCCAGCGGACTAGCCTCTTCCGCGCTGCCCCCTTCTTTCCCCGGCTTACCTTCTGCTTTCCCTCCCTCTGCTCTTCTAGCTTTTCTTTCTCTACCTGTCTTTCTCTCCCCTTTTTTCTTACGTTCCCCCCCTCACTCTTTCTCTTCTCCTTCCACCTTCCCTTTCTCTGCAATCGCTCCTTCAGTCTTTTCTCTGCCGTCCTCCTCAGCCGTTCTTCTTTCTCCCCACTTCTTCTTATAGAGGGTTGGTTTCCCTGCCTTATCTCAGATCTCTCCCCCCTTCTCTCTCCCCCTCTTTTCCTCTCCGGCTCCCCTTCTCTTACTCTTCCCTCGCCTGTTTTTTTCTCTCTTCCTTCTCTGCATCTCCTAGCCAAAGCCGCCTCCCCCTCCTCCCCCCCCCACTCCTAAAATGCACAGATCTTCTCTTCTCTCTTTCCCTTCCTCACACCCAGGGGACCCTGGGGAGATGCAATTGAGAGAGGGAGGGGAGAGGAGGGAGATCTTTTAAGGTGGATTGAAGGACCGGTGGATTCCCCAAAATTGGTGATCTCAACTTATCTTGATGCAGTGAGATAACATTTCTCTTATCCATTATGTCATTCTAGGGGAGAGGCTGAGCCATTCACCCAGCAAGATGCCATCTTACTCCATTGTTGCAGAAAAGGACTGGGAAAGATGGGTGAGAATCAGGCTGCAGCCCTAAAGGTGGTGTCCAGCTGATTCACAGGAACATAAACTAGAGGTCACCAACTGTCCAAAGAGGCTGAGAGTGCTGGCCAAACTGCTCAGGAGCCAAATTGGTCCAGAGGTCACCAACTGGAGATCTCTGGACCAATTTGGCTCCTGAGCAGTTTGGTCAACACTTTCAGCCTCTTTGGACAAGTTGGAAGCAATAGAAGATCTGGGGTCAAAATGGAATCTCTGGCAAAGGATAAATTGACATCTCCAGCTTGTCCATCACTTCTCAAAACCCTTGCAATATGAGCTTGTGAAATTAAAAAAAAAAAAGATGCTATCACACAGTTCCATTGCCATCTTGTCTTTTTTAAAACCCCACTCCACCCTAGACTACCCCTGACCCATTATCCAACTAGGTAGCATCATCAGTGCAAAACCCATTTCTTCTAGCACTGATGATGTTACCTAGTTTGGTAATGAAACAACTGCAACAAAACAAACAAGCTCAGAGAATATCAAGGACCAATTTTTTTTTCTACCTGAATGGGTCAAGGGTGGCCTAGGGTGGAGTGGGGTTTAAAAAAAAGTCAAGAAGGCAACTGCAATTGTGTGATAACATCTTTTTTTTTAATGTCACAAATGTGTAGATAAGGCAAAACAGCTTCTGAGGAAAGTGAATGTACTAGGAAGATAGTGGTCTGGAGGAGAGGCAGACCAAAGTGGGAACAAGCGGGAAGTTTTGAGAAAAAGGTGAACTTCGATATACTTGCATTCTTTTTGTGCCTAAAATCTCAGTTCCTGTTGAATAAGACTGCAAACTAGCATCTTCTTTCATTGTGCCCTAAAATGGACATTTGCTTAGGGATGTGTTCTGTTCTAATCAATAAAACAAATCTTTTCTGTGGATTTATAATTGCTATACTTAATGAAGCTTTATCATGAGTGCCAAAGAAACGTTATAGGTGGTCCTCAACTTAACAATAGTTCGTTCAAAGTTACAGTAGCACTGAATAATGTGACTTAAAACCGTTTTTCACAGTTATGACCTTTGCAGCATCCCCATGGTCATTTGATCAAAATTCAGATGCTTGGCAACTGGTTCATATTTATGACTGTTGCTGTGTTCCAAGGTCATGTGATCACTTTTTGCTACCTGCTCACAAGCAAAAACAATGGAGAAATCAGATTCACATAACTAGTGGATTACTAACTTATCAGCTGTACTTAAGTGTGGTAAAAAAGGTCATAAAATGGGGCAAAACTCACTTAACAAATGTCTCACTTAACAGTAAAAATTTTGGGCTGAGTTGTGGTTATAGGTTGAGGACTATCTGTATTTTGTTATCCTTAAAATACAGCTAAGCAACAGCAAAGGGTGATTTGAGTTAAGAGTACGAGAAATCAAGCTTTACAAGTATGAATCCTAGATCAGTCTACATGCTTATTTATTTAATCTTCATCCTCTTTTCCCTTGTCTCCATGGAGTTCAAAAGAGTCTACAGATGAGTGCACAGAGCATAGTAGGCTAATGTGGTTGCTAGTTTGTGGCTCAATATTTGTTGCATCTTTATGGTTAGTGGTTAATTTACGGTTCAGTGGGTTGTGTGAATCCAAACAATTTAGTTAATGTAGGAAAACAGTGCTGTCATCCACAATTTGTTTCAATTAGTTCATCCAGATGTTTTGCTTGCCACGGCTGAGGACCTTCCTCATGATATAGATTCCATCTCATTACAAGCTTCCTATAAGGCAGGTTGAAACTGATCCAAGGTCTCCTGAAATCAAAGTTGGACTTTGTCCAACATCCTGAAAGAAGACCTCCCATGTAACATCTAGGGCAGTGTTTCTCAACCTTGGCATCTTGAAGATGCCAAGGTTGAGAAACACGGGCTTTCTGGAGTCGACCAGCTTAGAAATTCAATGAACAAACAAAATCACTTGCAGGCTATTTCTTTCAGGGAGTGGAAGACCTGGACACGGAAACATCACCTTCATGGAAGATCAAATCCAGGTATTTTGGAAGACTGATATTCCCATTGATAAAGCAAAGAAACCTAAGATACATTCATTCCATGAAGATTCAGGAGGGCTAACATATTTAGGGGTCAATTGTTCGTATTGTGTGAATTGCCCTGTGTAAAGCAGGGGTGTCCAACCTTGGCAATTTTAAGACTTGTGGACTTCAGTTCCCAGAATTCCCAGCCAGCATGTCCTGCCCATGGCTGGCTGGGGAATTCTGGAAGTTGAAATCCACAAGTCTTAAAATTGCTAAGGTTGGACACCCCTGATCTAAAGACTTTGAAACCAGGGCTTTTTTTTCTCATAGAACGCCCAGAACGGAGTTCCGGCACCTTTTTTGGATGGAACCCTGTAGGATAGGCAAGGCGGGTTGTATGATGTGTGTGAGTTCCGGCACCTTTTTTTTTTTTTAGAAAAAAAGCACTGTTTGAAACAATCAGACATTTGAGAAGGACAGAAAAAAACATAACTGGTAGTGGATTGTGAGTCTCTTAAGGTATCTCCCTCCTTGCCCCTTCAAAACTTTTACAGGTAGTCCTCAACTTATAGCCTATCTGAAAAAGGAGATTTACAACCTGGATCTGTTCATCCCCCTCATGACTGCATTTTGGGCACTCAACAACACCGCTGCATTTATGACTGTTTGCCACATCCCATGGTCACATGACCTTATTTGATGATGGCCAAACTGACAATTGACCACCACAACGAACACTGTAAATTCAGGTGGGTCACATGATTGACCTGTTTTACAACCATCACTACTACTGTTTGTAATGGGCAAATGCCATTATGGTTGTAATCTGAGGACTATCTATAAGTCCCATAGCCAGGGCAGGGTTTGAAAACACAAAATGTTTTTAAAGAAGTTTTACCTGTAAGATTATTGACCTTTCAATATAGCTGTGAAGAAGAGCAGCCGTCTTTCTCATATACATACAGATAAACAAAGTATCTTTTATCCTCACTACAACCTGTGAGATAATTAGGTTGAAAGTTGGAACTATCCCATATGAGAAGGACTGGCAGAACCTGTGGGCGGTGTTAAGAGGGATCAGCCTAGAATTCCTACATAGTCACAAGCAGAATAACAGAATAACAGAGTTTGAAGGGACCTTGGAAATCTTCTAGTTCAACCCCCTACTGAAGAAGCAGGGGACCCTATACCATTCCAGACAAATAGATGTCCAGTCTCTTCTTAAAAGCCTTGTGTGTTGGAACACCCACAACTTCTGAAGGCAAGACTTTCCACTGGTTAGTTGTTAGGAGATTACTCCTTAGTTCTAGGTTGCTTCTCTCCTTGATTAGTTTAAATCCATTGCTTCTCATCTTGCCTTCAGGTACTTGGGAGAATAGGCTGAGCCCCTCTCCCTCAGATATTGGAACACTGCTATCATGTCATCCCCCTAGTCCTTCTTTTCACTAGATTAGATATCCCAATTCCTGCAACCGTTCTTCATATGTTTTAACCTCCAGCCCCCTAATCATCTTTGTTGCTCTTGTTACTAAGTCTAAATCTTTGAATTCTATTGACCCTTATCTAACTCTTAGTAGGTGCTAAAGGTTGAGAAGATTCCTATGGATTGGCATGAATAGCAATAAATCAGTTTAACTGGACCTTCACATATGGACCTGCTCTTTTGTGCTTGACATATCCCAACCTTATCCATTAGCTAAAAGAAAATTTGAATCAGGGTTTTCTCAGTCCTAATCTCATTATAATATGGGGAACCTATAGTACTCCCCAAAGAATGGGAGAATAGCAACTTCTACCATATTTTGCTCATGTTGCTTGGGATAATAGGAGTTATAGTCCAACATCTTAGTTTTGCCTACAGCCGCTCTAATGAAAACACCATTACATTTTAGTTTTCCCTTCCAAGCAGTGGAATTTAATTTGACAAAATGTAATGTTTTCTGCTGGTGAGGTATGATTTCATTTGGGGCAGGCAATTGATGATAAAACCCCTACAATTTTCCACGTGAAAACCTTTGAACAGATGGCCTGCACATATTTGTGTAACTTCTTTTTTTCCATAATAGGATTTTAAAGGAGGGGGACTAAAAGCAGGTAAAACAGCAGCGCCTCTATCATGTTGCCCAAAATAAGTTTATAGGCTTGTTAGGGCCTAAGAAGTGGCTTCATTTGTGGTTTTGCACGTTGAGACTTGACCAAGATATTCCCTCATTAGCCTCAGAGATTAAATCTATGTTGCATTGTTCTGTGGCAATGACACCATTGCCACAGATTGGCTGAAATGCGATTATGTCCAGCTTACAATGGACCAGGTTTGTTTTGATGAAGTAACAAAACGTTTGCTGTTAAGCCAAGGTTGAAATCCCATCTTGGAAGCTAAAGTCATCAAATTTATTAGCTTTTGCTAATAATTTCAATAGGTTTCTCTTCTGTCACGCTCAGTTGTAATGTCACTTGATCTCATTTAGCTGTGCTGCAAGAACCAACCAATCAATTTATACATTCGAGGTTATGGTTAATTTTTTTGTGCACATCCAACTAAATTTTGTGGCTTAGCACAAGGAGTAAAGCCAACTATGGTTTGTTATCATAAACATTTTATATTAAATGTTATAAAGCCATCTAGAGTTGGTTGGTAGACAGATGGGCAGCATACAAATTTAATATTTATTTAGCGTATGGCTTGGTTTTCGTTTCCAGGAAAGCCTACCGGGCAGTCTGGCTGCCAGCAGTTGCTGATTTATTTAGTTCACACTGTTACGGAGGCGAACTAGCCTCTCACCCGCACAAACATAATAAATAGGTGAAGCAGGCTAATATGACTTGTTCAAGAAGCTATGATTTAGGAACTCCCAGCCGTTTGAGGTGGCTACACTGCATAATGGTAAGCATCCGACCGCACGTTAAGAGTTCCACAGGTCAAGTGGCAGCTGTAGGGCTTAGAAAGACGGACTACTGGATGGGGTTGAGTTTCACATCTCGTGGAAAAAGATTTACTCCTGAGATCTCCTTTCCGAGCTTCGCCACATCAGATTTATCTTCCGATGGCGCGGTTGGGCTCCCTCTTTGCTGCCTTTTGGACCACCTGGCCATCGGAGATCTTCTGCCGGTCAACTATGGAGCCGGACGTCCCTAAGAGGATCTCGCCACCTTAAAAACAAAAAAACAACGGTCCCCAGTTAGGAGGCAAAGCTTGAGAAACGTCTGCGAAGGGAAGTCCCGCCCAGAACCCCTGGATTGGTTATCGCAAAATGAGGACGCCCGAGTCCGGTGGGAATGAAGTGAAATTTAGTAGGTTATGAAAAAGGAAGGGCGGAGAGGCACCGATTTCGCCTTCGCGGCGATCGCGGCGGGGGGGGGGAGGGATCGGGGTTTATTAAGAAGAGACTGCAAAGGCGGGTTGGAAAAAAGCCGTGGTAGAAAAATCGGATTTTCTTTGGAGAACAGACGTCCGTCTGGAGTCCAGAACTAAAAGAGGTTTGTCGCGTGAGGGAGGCAGGGACAACACAGGCAACCCCCCTCCAACACTCACAGGCAATTAAGACAGCAGGAGCCGTTTGTATAGAAGTCAAAAGTCAGCTTTATTGGGGATTATGCATAAGTAAGGATGGAGTGAAAATAAGGTTTTTCCAGGCAGGGTTATTCCGTTTAGAGCTGTCCGATAAACAGAATTCCAGGCTATTTAAGATTTCCTGTCCAGAAAAGGGGAAAGATAAGAAAAAAAGCAAATGCACCTGTTGAATGTCTACATATTGCAGCCTTCTGGTGGTGGAGGAATTGAGTCTTGGCAAATGTGACTAAATTCTCACTTTATTTATTTTAAGCAGGAGAGAAAAAATGATTTTCGGTCAGTGTTAATGGCTTAAAGCACTATGGAGTTTGTAAGCCACAATGTATAAGCTGTAATTTCTAAGTGTACACATTGCACTAAGTCAGGGGTAGGCAATCTCGGCTCTTTTATGACTCGTGGACTTCAACTCCCAGAATTCCTGAGCCAGTATGGAGTTGAAGTCCACGAGTCATAAAAGAGCCAAGGTTGCCTATCCCTGCACTAAGTCAACCCAAACTAGTTACATAATGGCCTAGTGTGTCACCTAAATCAAGGCAAAGAGAAACTAGTTACTTGGATTGATGTATTGCTGTCTGCTCTAATCTTATCTGGTTCATATGTAAGTATCTTTTAGTGTTTTGTGTGCCTCTTAGTTGACACTTTGTAGTGTGTGTGAAACCTGCTTTGGTACTCAGTGGTCTAAATGTCCAGGATAAATATGATGGGGCCATTTCTGAACATTCTTGGTAGCAAAGTCATATGAAATGCTTACTTTTCCTACAGTCTGGAAGATGATTGGCTGGGAAAAATTAAGATAGGGGTCTTCAAATGTGGCCCTTTTATGACTTGTGGACTTCAACTCCCAGAATTCCTCAGCCAGGCTTGAAGACCCATGGATTAAGAAGTACGCCTTAAATTGGCCAAACAGTTTAGAAATCACAAGGATTTCTTCATGATACCTGCAAGCAGCTAGGAAATCATACAAGCCTCACCATGCTGTGAATACCAGGAATATCCTCTCCAACAATTCTTCAAAGCTTAAAATTCCTTATATTTTTAGGTAACCATTAGACAACACATGACCCCATTGGGTCATCTTTTCTGAGTTATTTCCTTACCCAAACAGAAAAAATAGATTCACCATGTACAGAAAAAAAAGTAATGGAAGTGGAAACTAATGGGACTTCCAATTTCCTACAGGCTTCCCCAATGACTTTGTTTGTAGAGAACTGGCAGGGAGTGTCAGAAATCATATTACTTGGCTGTGGCTAATCATTGCAATATTGCAGCAGGCACAATTTTGCAAATACAACTGGTGTGAAGATCCTTGAAATTTCAATTGCATCGGTCCTGTTTTTTGAATGCATTCCTTAAGTTAGTGGATTTGAGCACGTTAGTTTAAAAATCTTTGCACTATGATGCAACATTTGGGCTTATTGAAGGTTACAAACTGACAAACAGGCAGGTTTAGTAGTATATGGGTATTCTGTTCTTTATACGTAGGTGTGTATCATTGCTTCAGATTTTCATATGCTCCTTCTAAAATATTATTAATCCTGGGTAACGTCTTTGAAATGTTGCACAAAGGAGTTTCTAGGAGGAGTCAGTGGTTAGTAGACAGGCTTCTGTTTATGCTGTTCCCAAATAAGATATATTCACTGCATGGAATCATATTAGCCAATCCAGAGAATGGCTCTAGATGGACCTGCTAGAATTTTACTGGTAGGAAACTTTAATTGAGAGGCATTAACAAGAAACCAAACCAAACCAAACTAATCATAAAACCCCTGTGGAGTGAAGGGGGGGGGGTTTAACTCCCTCATTAGTCTACTAGCTCACTCTCAGCTGCATTTTACTGCATGTATAAATCAAGAATATTTGTAGGAAAATGAAAAACAAATCCTGTATTTAGGTTTTATAAAAAAGGCAAAAGTACTGAAGAGGGAAAACAGGGTTGGCTGCTGTACAAAGGGAAAAGATTTGGGCATCTTAGTAGATTGCAAGCTAAAGAAGAGCCAACAATGTAGCGCGGCTGCTAATAAAGTTATTGCAATTAGATTACATCACTAAAAACACTCATCAGATCATGAGAAATAATTGCTCTGCTCAGTCCTGTGTTGTTCAAGTGCCCCATTGTAAGAAGGGTTTTGATGAACTGGACAATTACCTGAAGCGAATGGGTGGTGGTAAATAAAAATGACCTCAAAAGAAGATCTAACATTAATACTACAAAGAAGCAGAAGGTGAGATATATACCTAATCTTCAAACAACTTCAAGGTTAGTCCACAGAACATACTGGGCTCCCTATGGTTCACAGGCCAGCTGCAGACTCAACAGTCAACCAGCCTCTCCCTAAAGAGGCCAATTTTTTTTGGGGGGGGGGTCCCATCCAGACCTTCATTGCCTTAGAATCACATCCCTGCAGTTTTTAGGAGCCATAAAGAAGGGTAAAAATAGCCCAGTGATGACCAAGATGGAAAAGTCAAGCTCTCTCTGTTCTACAGAAGAAGTCAAGAACGGTGGGCAAATGCAGGGAAGCAGATTTTAGTTAAACAGGAGGAAGAATTTCCACATCGTAAAACCTGTTTGGTGATGGAATCTACCACCTTGGCTAGTGGTCAGCTCAACTATGATGAGATGCTTCAGCTGAGGATCCACAGTGTCTCCCAATTCTGATTGCATCTGCAATGATTTGTTGGCACTTTACAAGTTACAACTGAGAAGTAAACAAGAGGTCTGGATTTTTCTGGAAGGAAGAAGTTTCCAGCAGGTTAGATTTAGCTTGCCAACATGTTTGCTTGGCACAGAAACCTATATGTTTAACATCTTCTTCAAAGATGAGCTCTTAGATATCTCCCTTTTTCTGCTATTATTCCAAAAAATACAAAAGCAGATTTACAGTGGGTTTGTTTGACAACCTTGATGGTGGTGGATGGGAGCTGAACACTTGGCTTTTATTGTTATAAAACAGGGGTGTCAAACTCGCAACATCATGTGACGTGTTGCGACATATCAGGACTTTTTTCCCATTGCCGGCAATGGGGTGAGCATGGTTTCACCATGATGCATCCGGTCCTCTGGCCAGCAGTTTGACACCCCTGTTCTAGAATATTTCTGTGAATTAACTGATGGCCCATAAGAATGTAGATGGACCAATAATTGAGATCCAGATCCTGATAGCAGAGATTTTGGTTGTCTGATGAGAAAGGAATATTTGCATGCTTCTCTATGCCCTAAGAGATTCAAAGCCTCACCTTTTGAATTTCTGTAGTTGTATCTAGTAATGGCTCTCTTTTCAGAAAAAAAGATAATACCCTTTTAAATTGGAGAGAGAGAGAGAGAGAGAGAGAGAGAGAGAGAGAGAGAGAGAGAGAGAGAGAGAGAGAGAGAGATTATAGAGCTTGCCCAACAGCATCTGGAAGGCTGCAGGTGGCCCTCTTCTGCTATAAATGAATAGCAGAGGGCCCTTTAATGGAGGAAAACTCTCCATCCTGAGCCCTCTAGTAGTTACCAGAGAATTAAAACTGGAGGGGGTGAGTCAGATGATTGAATTCTTTTGAAAAACCTGCTGGTATGGAGCCTTGAAAAGGCTGGGAGCCGCTGATGTACAATAACATTACAGAAAGATGGTAGCAATGCAGATTTCTTCTAAGAATGGATTTTACTTATTGTTTTTTCTCTCTATATCTGTATGTGTGGAAGGTTGGGAGAACTGTGACCATATACATGTGTGACCTGAATTTCACTGTCCTGGCTCTCCTCCCCTTTCAAAGGACAAAGTCTCTTTTTGTGAATTTTTCTCAGTAAAAGCTTTTCAAGATTTTCCCTCTGAACAGCCTGAGCCACAAAGAGGAGTGGCACAAAAAGGAGGCTGGAAGATAAGGAGAAGAGGAAAAACTGGTTTGGTGGAGTTGTAGAAGCTGGGGGCAAACAGATTTTGAAGAAGCAAGAAAGGAAAACTTCGGAATTGCATTCTTCCTCCTTCCTGTTAATTCCATCAGAGGGTTCCCTCTTTTCCAGGGACAGAGAGTTAAAAGGATGTTTAGGTTTCTGTTTTTACTTCCCTTGTGTCTTTTTCCTTCCTCTCTAGCAAAACAATGGCCAAACGGATTGTTGAGTCTATTCAGTATGGAGGAATCACTTTTCCAAGCATTGTGCATAGTGAAGAGAGTGTTCGCTACGCTCACCGGTGTTTCCAAGTGCGGGACAGTGATGTCTTCAATGTTACATACCCCAAATCTGGTAAGCCAGACAAGTGCCTATCCCCTGCTTCCCTGGAATTTGGGGGCCCAGGAAATATATTAATTTATACTTTCATGGTTTCTCTAACTCACTTTTCTCAGAATATATAAGTCAAGGCATCATTTCATATTTAGCAGTTGTGTGGACAGATAAAATTATAATTGCTAGAACTTCTCCAGAAAAATTACCAAAGCTATCAGTTTTTGAAGTGCGTGGAATCAGAATCTTATAAGCATAGATGCCTTGTTGAAAAACTTAAAAAAAAAAGATTTTGGATGTATGTTGGAACTATTTGTAGTTCTGTCCTTTGTTGACAGGATTGTCTTAAAACTATGAGACAGAACGAGAACAGGCACTTGAACAACGTTCAGTACATTGCATCCTCTGCCTGTCCATCTGTCTGTCCATCCTTCCAATTTTTTTTGTCCATCGAAACTAGTGACTCAGTTAATGGAAGTGCATACATCTGGGGAAACCCCAAATACTGAAATAATACCTGGGATTTTGTTTAATTAGTGCTACTTCTTGTGAGTATGGTTCTGCTGGATCATTTCAAATCCTAGACCTGAGGCAATTTCTTCCACAGCTCCTACAAAAAGCTTTGGTAGATATCTTCAAAGACGCCCTGCACACGTTCAGGATAAGAAGTATACGGTCTTGTCTGTTTTCAGGAACAACTTGGATGCAAGAAATTCTTACTTTGATCTATAGCAATGGAGATCCCACATTCTCACAGTCAGTCCCTTGTTGGGAACGGGTGCCCTGGGTTGAACAGAAGACAGCAGCCCAGTACTTGGAGAACCGACCCTCCCCTCGGCTCATTACCTCTCATTTGCCTGCAACAATCTTTCCAGAAAAGTTCTTCTCTTCGCAAACTAAGGTGATTCCATTTGTACATATACGTGGGTGTGCATATAGAGAGAATATATTGATGCAATAAACAACCCATGGATTGTTTAACAATGGATTCAATTATGGGATTCAATCTGGGTTGCTCACCAGGATCAGAGGTTTAGTCTTTTGAGCTTTTGGGCTCTTGCTGGAGTCCATCTTCAGGGAACTTCTGTCTACACATTGTATTAGAGAGAAGTTCCCTGAGGATGGATTCCAGCAAGAGTCCAAAAACTTGGAAGACTAAACCTCTAGTCCTGTTGACCAACCCAGATTGCATCCTGCAACATTATTGTGGGACACGTATATATGCCTTCATTCTTGAATTCAGTTATGTCTTCAGTAAGGGACAATTGTAATTGTAGTTTGCAACCATGATGGCTAACACACTAAGCCAAAATCAAAAGAAACCCATTATGGGTTAGTGTGGTGGATGAATCTTAATTACCTTGTGTGTGTTAGAAAGCATGCTTCTGTTGATCACTGCTAAGAAATTAGCCAGCAGTCAAATATGGGGACATTCTGATAACTGGTAAGAGAGGTTAACATTGCCTCCTGGCCTCACCAGATTGCCCTTTGGGAAGGAACTATGGGAAGAACCATTGAGATAAAGCCATTCTAATACTTGAAAACTTTCTCTTCTAGGCTATTTACACTGTCCGTGACCCCAAGGATGTCTGTGTATCACTCTACCATTATGCCAAGATGTCTTCATTTCTGGAGTTTAGAGAGGATTTTGGAGAATTTATTGAGCTATTTTCAGCAGGGAAACGTATGTGGGCAGAGGCTGGAAATTTAGACTCTTGATTTGTTCACCAAAGCACTGGAATCCCTAGTAGAAAGAGTCAGTGTCAGAAGTTCCTTATTGACTGCAGTCTTCCCTCTTTTATTATTCTTGATGTTTCATCTTTCCCCTTCACATGTACTATCTGACAAGTCTATTTTGGATGGATAGCCAGAGTCCCAGGTTAATCTGGAACCCCTGAAGTTACCACCAAACGCAATTGCCCAGAACTGATGGCATTATTTCACTGCATTTTGACATAGGAAGAACATGAGAAATAGACTATGTTCTGAGTGTTAGACATTCTAACAGTCTAAGTCCTAAAATAATTTAACCTGGTTTAAAAATGCTAAGAAATCAACTCCAGATTCAGAGAGGAACATGCCATTTTAGCTTTGGCCTTCAGGGTCCTATCCATTTTGTATTATCATCTTACTCTGAGATCCTCCTTAGATCCATCACCACTAACATCTTATTAACTATCCATCTTAGCCCCTTCATTATAACCCCTTTGCTGTCTTCATTCTTTATACAACGAAAACATGAGTTGCTTATGTTATTTTTTGTCATAAAATTAACCCGCTTTTAACTGCCTCACAACTCACAGCATTAACCTCTGCCATGTAAAAGAGGCAACTGGTAAATCTGATTGCTCCTTTCTCAGTTCGGTTGGGTCATGTTTTGCCTGACCTGGAACCAATTAAATTATGTCCTCTGATGAAGCAAAATGCTAGTCCTTTGTAGAATCCCCCTGTGTGTCAAGTGTCTGTGGATGTCAAGTCTGCACTAACAATCTGCTTTGTCTGTTAGATGATAACAAATGAATTCTGTCAGGTGAACTTTTAGCTCCTTGCTGTCTCCTTAGGATTTTTTCCTTTGGCAGAGATGATGGTTTTTGGTGACAATTTGTCAGACACGAGTGGGCAATATGGTCATTCCATCAGATGTCTTGGATTTTGGTTCCTTGTTGCCTAGCCAGCATGGCCTGTGACAAGGCATTGTGGGAATTGTTATCCAAAACATCTGGAGGTGCAGTACTCCTCTCCTTTTGCTATGAACAATTGCTTAGAAGCCAGTTTTGCTGGGATCAGTGGAATTTGCTATTAGGTAAGTGCATATAGGTTTCCAGTTCCAGAGTTATTTTGCTTACAATATTAAAATCTATGCTGTTACAAAAAAAAAAAAAAAAACCAACAACAACCCAAAAATGTTTTTCTTCTTATTTGCTTACCTCAGTTCTCTTTGGCACCTGGTTTGATCATGTCAAAAGCTGGTTGGCTTACAAAAATGAGAAGAAGTTTCTCCTTCTGGTCTATGATGACTTGCTAAAGGTAAATGTCTGTCCGTCTGCCTATCATCCATCCATCATCTGTTTGTCTCTGTTTCTTGTCTCTGTCTACCATCTCTCTCTCTCTCTTTCTCTCTCTCTCTCTCTCCATCTCCCTATCTCCCTTATTTGTCTGTCTGTCATCTGTCTGTCCATCTATCATCTCTCTCTCTCCCTCCCTCCCTCCCTTCCTTCCTCGTTGCCCCACTCTAATTCAGGAGTCATTTTGTTCTAAAGGTCCTGAATTAGAGATACAGCTTTTCTTCGTGATCTTCTCTCTCTAGGATCTACGTGGCAGTGTTGTTCGCATCTGTGAATTCCTAGGCAAGAATTTGGATCCTGCTGCTGTTGACTCAGTGGTGGAAAATGCTTCCTTTGGCGTGATGAAGAGCAACAAGATGGTGAATTACACCATGGTTCCTGAAGAACTGATGGACCAAAAGATCAGCACGTTCCTCAGGAAGGGTAGAGATCAAAAAGCTTTGAGAAAATCCATAGTTCAATGAATCTCCAGAAGCTAGTGCAGCAAAACACACAGTGTCTCACCTTTTTCCTTCCCTTTCTTTGCAGGGATTTCTGGGGACTGGAAAACTCACTTTACTGAAGAGCAAAGTGTTGCTTTCCACCAGCTCTACCAGGAAAATATGAATGGTCTAGAGACCAACTTTCCTTGGGAGGAATTTCAAGCTGAAAACCATCAGGAAATTTGAGATTTTGGATGGCAGGGAGCAATGCTGCAATCAAAAAAATGCCAAACTTTGTGAATTAAAATATATTTCATTCAATATAGGTAGTCCTTGAATTATAACTGCAATCAGAATCGGGATTGCTGTTGCTAAAAAATACAATTGTAAAGCACAACATTACCTGACCACATCACTTAGCGGCAGCAATCCAGACCTAGTTGTTGTTGTAACCCAAGATATGCAAGTTATTATGTGTGAAGCAGAACAAGTCCCAGGTCAGGAGTGAGCAGGTGCCACAGGGGGGTGGGGGAGGTCCTGAAAGACCTGGTCCAGGCCATGAGGGTGTGGGTGTGCGTGCATAATGTGTGGGCATAGGGAAGCCAAGGAGAGGGTGTGGGGTGCAGGCATGTGCATATTGTGTGTGTCAGTTCAGGGGATTGTGGAAAGATGACAAGGGGAATGTGAGAGTATGTGAGCACAGGGAGGCTGGAGAAAGGGGCAGGTTCTGTGTGATTGTGGGGAGGTTGTGGAAAAAGGCTACTTGTAGATGAGCAGGCTAAGGTAGAGTTAAATATTTCATCTGTTTGCAGTCATTGCGCAGTCAAAGAAACTGTGAATTCTGTTGACCTTTTATCTAGTGTCAATTTATCTTTGACCGTTAGTTTTACCAGATTCTTTTGTATTGGTAGCAACAATAAATGTTTTAGTATTTTGAACTCAATGAGTGCTCTTGATTAGACAATATGGAGCATGTGTGAATGAAAGGGGAAGGAAGGTGTGATGTGTACACGAGTGAAGAAAGTGTGTGTGGGGGGAACCTCCCCGAGTGACATGCAGTCTTCCTTGCCAGATTCCCCGTTGACTTTGCTCTTGGGAAGCCAGCAGGGAAGGTCACAAATGCTGATCATGTAACTGTGAGCCACCACAACTGGTAGTATGCGTGAGCTGGTTGACAGGCACTTGAATTCAAACAACTGGTGTGTGTGTGTGTGTGTGTGTGTGTGTGTGTGTGTGTGTGTGTGTAGGCACTATAACAGCCAGAATTTTGAATACTAGTCATAGTTATGTCCCTTCATGCAGGGTTGTTGTAACTCCACACACGGTCGCTGAATGAATGATTGCAACTTGAGGACTACCTTAGGCCCTACTCATGTTAACTATAGTATAGGGATCCCAAGTCTTTGCAATGTTTTGAATTTCTGGGCAAATTCATGCTTTGTGCCTTTAAGTCTCTAACATACTATGAAAATAGTAGAAAAGAGAAAAGGTGGATTTTTTTTTCTGAACTAAGCAATCTGAAGTGGTGGCATTCCATATTTGAGTTGTGTTTCACAAGAAAAAAACAATAATTTCTCAAAACAAAGAGTTTTATTTAGGTTCTTTTTTACATGCTATTTTCTTCCTGCAGGGACTTTTTGAAATCATGGAATAAATATAAAACAAAAGTTCTGATTTGTTGTTCCATGTCTCCTTTCCCCCAACAAAATGTTTATTATATTTTTTTTTATTGAAAATGTTTTAAAAACTTTTACAAAGACAGAAAAAAACAATGACAACTACAATAAGACAAAAAAAACAAAAAACAAAACAATACAACCCTCCCCCAACCCCTCCCAAATCACCCCCTCCCTCCCGTTATCTGGCCCTATTGTGAGTGTTACAAAAAGCAATGGCAAATGAAATAGTAATAGCTATCATAACCAACCACCAGATGGTGATGCTGATTTAAACATCAGATGGGAATAATAAGAGTCTATTTGCACAACACAGATGACATTTGGATTGTTTTTCGCTACCATTTAATCATCAGGAATTAAAGTGAGGGTGTAAGGCCCAGCAATTTGGGGTCACAAGGGCAACAGGAAATTCAATAGAATTTGAATTGGGATCTCCCAAATCAGTGTTCTTATTTTTTAAAGAATATTTTTGATCAGGAATAGGTTGCTGGCAATTCATGGTTATAAATTGCATTTTTTCTCCACAAATATGTTATCTCCTATGACTGACAATTCTTTTTCTCAGCGTAATGAGGTACTTCCTAACTGAAATGACAACATGGCATTTTTTTTTAATTAACATCTGGAAAGGAGTCTGTTCAGACAAGACAGCTCTTCCTATTTACTCTCATGAGCTGTGAGATAACAAACTTCTAGCTCTAACCCCAATTAGATAATAATTTCTCTAGTTTGTCTTAGCAGGAACCCAGTATCTATTAGACTCTTAGTCCTCACTAATACAAGTAGTTCTCAACGTATGACCATAACTTAGCTCAGAATTAAGGTCATATGTCATACTGGTCATTAAGCAGGACATCATGTGATTGATTTGGTTTATGATATTTTTTGTGGTGTTCCTTAAGTGAACCATTGGCTTCAGTGGGCATTTTTGGCTAGTTTCTGGCAAAATATGTCATAGATTGCAGTTGTGTGATTGTGGGACCCTACAAATGTCCATAAATTACTGACTACCCAAAAGTGATCATGTTACCATGAGGAGGGGGCCTCCACCTGTTGTAACTTTGAATCTTGGTTGTAAATTCCTTTTTGGGGAATCTGTTGTAACTTTGCAGTTATAAGTCATAAGTCCAGGACTACCTGGATGCAATTTTCCTTTGCTGATGTCTGAACTAAGTAACTCTGATGGGTGGAAGGGAAGGGGGAGAAGAGGAAGGTTGAAGGCATATAAAACCTGCCCAACAATGCAACCACTTTGTGAATCACATCCATGAACTACAAGCATTCCTTGGTGTACAATCAAACTGAGCCCAAAATTTCTGTTGTTAAGCGAGGCAGTTGTTAAATGAGTTTTGCTCCATTTTACAGCCTTTACAGTTGTTAAGCAAATCACTGGTTGTTAAGTGAATCATATGGTTGTTAACTGAATCTTGCTGCACTGTTTTTGGATGGAGGTTGACTGATCTTTCAAAAGATATGCAAACAAGTCCTGTCATTTGGGTTCCAGACAACCGATAGATCTGTATTCAGAAACAGCAGTAACTTGAGTGGCAGGTTTTGACCCTGTCACTTGGACCACTTGAAGGGTGGCCTAGGCCAGTGGTGGGATTCAGCTGGTTTGCAGCAGTTCGGTAGAACCGGTAGCTAATTTTTTGTTGCCTAGGCCTTGAATGGACGTCCGGAAGCAGCATCCACACAGAGAACCCAGTTGTTCACATATTTGAATCCCACCACTGGCCTAGGCCCTAGAACTTCCACCTCAGGCGCCTACTCACCTTTACCTAGGCCTGCCTCCTCCTGTGAAGAGTGTTGATGGTGCTTTTCCCCTGGGAACTGGTGCAGGATGGACAGGAAAAGAAAATCAAGGGAATCTATCAATGGTTGCCCTTAAATTGTGCTGCAGTAAAACTGTACGGATAGATCACTTGCAAGCCTCATTACTGAGGGCGATTTAGAGCTTGGCCATCAGGGTAATGCAAATTACGCCGGCATATTTTTCTGCACACTGGAGGAATATACATTAATGAGGCTGTGAAAAAGAGCTTTACAGCTTCCTTTGTCTGTAGCAGGTTGCTGACCCCTAACTTTAAAATTATTGCATTATATCACTGTGTGGAAATTGAAGTTTTTAGACAAAAATCACAAACCCTTTTTTTACAAGAGAAGTAACTCTGAAACCAAGACTGTCTGGCAAAAAATAATTGAAGACAATCTTTTCCATATTTTCATACCTACTGTACGTTGCACTGAATTTAATGATGGCTTGTTCCTGGTATAAATAAGATTGCATCCTGAGATGTAACTGCAGTTGAAATTTAGGAACATCTTGCTCATTCCATAATCCATAGGGCTCCATAATCCTAATTTAATATCTTTTGGATAAATTTGGTTTCACTCTGATTCTCTTTTTTTCAGAGTATTCTTTTCGGTTTCTCCATCTTTGTGATTTCTTTTCTCAGAAGTCAACACATGATGATCCAAATTTTTGGAGACATTTTTGCAGTCTTCCCTTGTAAAAATGGGGTTTGCATAATGTTTTCCAAATATATCTGTCTGTCTGTCTGTCTGTCTATCTGTTTCTCTCTCTCTCTGTATGCATTTACTAATACGCACATTTTTGTATGATGCTTTCAGACAGGAGAACTCTATTACAAAATTTACAAAAAGGTGTAAGTGACCATGTCTGCACATTAATTTGAAATTGCAGATTAGGTAAATTAAATTAAAATGCAAACTTAATAAAGATTTCTTTTCCTAATGTTTTTAAGCCGCTCTGGGATTCAATTATAGAGCAATGCCCTCTGGGTCCAGCTTCACCTCCCTGTTAATGCATACATTTTCTCTGAATTTTTATTGATGCCCCTTCCATTAAGTTCATTCTTTTCTTTCTTCCTTTGCATCCTTCACATTTAACAGGAACAATGCAATGATTCCGAATGGATTTTTCCTATTAATTTCCAACTGTCAGGAAAACTACGTATCCTAGGTTGAAGGCCAGTTCTACATCATCTCATTTGTGATAGTAATAAGGAATATATCCTTTCCCAGGCTCATAATGTAAGAAAAAAAATGAAGCATCATGCTGGTTCAGATTAGAGGCCGATCCAGTCCCTCACTGGCCAACCTACCTACCTACCTACCTACCTTTGTGATGTTTATTAGCAGGACAAAAGGGCTGAAATAGTTTTTGGTTGTGTCCCAAGCATGCCTTTGATATCAGGTCTGTGTATCTATGTCTGTGTGTATTTAGCATGATATAGTATCATCTTATCCTCCAGTGTATTTATCTCTGTCAGGCTCCAAAAACCAAGGGACACATGCTGAGCTACTTCTAAAGAGCTTCTTTTATTGTTCCTCACTATGGACTAAAATCTTGCTAAAGTACTTTAAAGATATACTCTGGGAACTTCTAGGGAAGAACTGTCTTGAGCATCTTCCAGACTATCTAAACTTCATTATCTCTTTGCCCCTGCGGTGTAGCCCCTCCTTCCTGGGAATCTGCCACATCTGCTCAAAAATGGCTTAGTTTTGGGGAATGGTAAGCCAGCTTAACTCAGAGGCATCTTTCATTTGCAAACATATCCCAGCAGCTTGATTGATCTCTAACAGCCATCATTTGGCCTTAGCTGTCCTGGCTGTTTTTCTCCTTAGCATGCAGCAACCCATGTTCATTTTCAAGTGAGTGCAACTTGGGGGTCTTTCTCAACCATCCCATCAGTGTTATGGGGAACCCCTAGAGATGGGATCAGTCTGGCACCTATTGGTCATTTTAGCCAGGCCCCCTCTGGCTCTTGCTGGACAGTCTCCTGGGACCCATTCTGGTTCTCTCCTCGTACCCATCAGGTCTATGAACTCTTCCCCGATTTGGAGAACTAAGTTAGCCTGAACAACCAATAGTGGGAAAAGAATGCTTGATGGTGAAACTAGAGAGAAAGAGTGGAATCTCTGCCCTCTTTTGTCACCTGTTCAGGATGCTTTTAAATATAATTTAGAGCAGGGATGTCCAACTTTTCACAACTTTTAAGATTTGTGGATTTCAACTGAGGTTAGAATTTTTGCTGGCTGGAGAGTTCTGGGAGTTGAAGTCCACAAGTCTTAAAGTTGCCAAGGTTGGACACTCTTGGTTTAGACCTTTTCTGAAGTAGTCCTCAAAATGTTTCCTGCTCTTATCTATGCAAGATGCATCTGCTGGATTTGTATACACAGCAAAGCCCCATTTTGAACAAGATCACCCAGTGATGCAACCTATGACACACATGTTAAAAATGATATGATACGACATTTTAGGTAACATGCCAGCATTCGCCAATTATAACTATTATCCCTGTTTGAGTTATCAAAGAAACTGAATGAACAAAAATACAAAAAATATGTGACCCTGTCCCATCCAGAGCTTAAAATGGATTCTCACCATACAAATCATTATGTGAACTGTCATCCTCAGGATTGTGATTGGTGGTGACATGAAAAAGTCAACAACTTGCAAAATGCGATAGGGACATGGCAGCCATGTAGTTTAGTTGTCTTCCACCTGCTGCACTGGGTGGCTGTTTGTAGGAACAATGTGAGTTAGTTTAACTGTACTGGAAAGATTGGAATTTAAGAACCTAATGGAGCATTTTATGCTTATTGAATTCATTTTAACAGAACTTGATGTTCATAATCGTTATTTATGGATAGGGATTTCTCCCAAATGTTTATGAGTTCACATGCCTCTTTAGCTGTTTAACTCAGCAGGCTTCAGAACACAAATCATTGAATCAACCCAATTCTATGTAGAAGAATGACCCATAGATGCTGTTTAACTGTAAAGCCTTTACAGTTAGTCCTCAACTTATGACCGCAATAGCACCCAAAATTTATGTTGTTAAGCAAGACAGTTGTTAAGTGAGTTTTGCTCCATTTTACGAACTTTCTTGCCATAGCTGTTAAGTGAATCACTGCAATTGTTTAGTTGGTAAACATGGTTGTTAAGTGACTCTGGCTTCCCTATTGACTTTGTTTGTCAGAATGTAACAAAAGGGGATCACATGACTCCAGGACACTGCAAATGTCATAAATATGGGTCAGTTGCCAAGCATCTGGATTTTGATCATGTGACCATGGGGATGCTACAACGGTCTTAAGTGTGAAAAGTGGTCATAAGACACTTTTTTTCAGTGCCATTGTAACTTCAAATGGTTAATAAACAAATAACTGTAAGTCGAGGACTCTAAAACTGTTCTAATGATCTGTGTACTACATCAGCAATATTAAAAAGGAAGTGAGTTAAATAAGAAAAGATTCTCAGCACTTAGATCTTCACCAGCCCCACTCAGAAGGGATATCAAGCTGTTTCTTGTTATGACTTCACTTCTTTGAATCAAGCAATCAGGACAAATTTTCTAACCTTTTATTATCAAGAAATGCCATCCAGCTCAAAGGGAATTCTTTATATGGAACATTTTTCTGTCAGTCTTACATTCCAAAATCACTGCATTTCTCAAGGGTTTCAATTTAGCTTTAGTTAAATTGTATTATTTAGTTTCCTGAATATCTGATATGAAGATGGTGGAAAAGGTCAGACCTATTTGAAATTTTAGTGGCTCTTGACACCACAATGTCTGAGAAGTTCTGTTTTATTGGCATTATAGTAACTTGCTGTGTTTAAAATATCTTTTGACACAATACAGCTTTTTAAAAATGACTTGATACATTACAATTCTTAACTACTTTGATAGTTTTTGTTTCAAAGGTCTCACAGGAAGAGTTATTGTCAGAACTGGTTCTTGACTAATTTAGACATCACCCTTGAAAAATGTCAAACTCATGACCAAAAGAAATCTGACTATTAGCTGATATCAATTGATGGTGAGGTTCCTTTTGAATGCAGCTGTGAAAAACACTTGCCCCAAAATACTCGGTTTTGACAGATGACCAAGATGTATGCTTTAGTCCTCTGTTGAAACTCAACTTTACCTCTTATTCTTTATCCTATCCTATCCTTATCCTACCTCCCATGAAGGGAGAGAAGGAAAACAAAGCCAGGGGACACCTCCATTCTCCATCTGTGTTATGTGGTAAATAACAAGAGCACCATTTGTTGAGGTTTGTCCCTGTGGCAGGATAGAGTTTGCTAGTGAAGAGTAGCATATGTTCTACCCAGCTAGTCTCCTGATGGCTCAGGGTGCTATAGCTTAATCAGCAGCTTCCCATGCCCAAATATTTTCCATTAATTCATCCAAAACCAAGTTTCTAGTTCAGCTGAATTCCTCTGTCTTGTAAAGAGGGGATAATATGTCAACCCATGGGTCTGTCAGAAGGATGAATGAGGGAGTCATTGATAATGCAGAACTAAAACTTTAAAATCAAAATCAGTTCCAGTTTAAGCTCAGCTTTTTGTACCCAAGGGAGTTTCTGTGGGACTCTGAAACTTCGGGTGTGAGGGTTTTTCTACCCATTCAGGCCTTTTCCTACCTGTTTCTTCACCCACCTTCCCATCACCTTTTTGGCTTAGATACTTCAGCATTTTCCATGCTTGCTTTGTTGCTGGAAACTTCGTAATTTATGTGCCCAAGCATCCCTCCAGAGCAGAGCAAGGCTGTTTTTGTCAAGGATTAGCCGGGCAGGGTCAGGTGACTCGGCATCGTTGCCGATGATAAGGTAAAATTTGCCCACTTGGAGGTGGAGGCACCGGCAGGCCAAATCTTGTTCTGGTACCCAGAGTGGCTGCTCTCCCCGACGAATAGGTACGCGACGCTGGCGGTAGACAGTGAGGACTGAGGCTGTAAATTGCCACCATGTTCCAGACTTCTCTAAGGCCAATAGCTGGGCCTGGAGAACTGCCATCAGTATTGTGAAGGTCACCCAAAAAAGAGAAAAAAAACCTATCAGGAAGTGAACTGTTATGTGATCCTGCCCTAATTCTGGAGCTATGACATCACTCCTTTTACAACTTCTCTTTTATTCCCACCCCTAAACAGTAGCATCTAAGACTCCAATTTGCAACCCCATGCGATCATCACTAGGCGCATCATCTCTGGGAAAAGCAGTGTGTTTCCCAGCAAATGGTTGTTTAACAGAGGATTTATCAGGGGTCCACAGCATCATCTTCCGCATGAAGACTATTAATTTCATATATTCTATATTTCCTGGATTGATTCTGTGGGAGGGGCATGTTATAAAGGTAGTCCTCAAATTACAATTCATTTAGTAACAGTTCAAAATTACACTGGCACTGAAAAAAGTGCCTTAGGACTGGTTTTTCACACTTACAACTGTTGCAGCATCCCCATGCTTATGTGATTGGAATTCAGAGGCTTGGCAACTGATTCATATTTATGATGGTTGCAGAGTCCCGGGATCATGTGATTACCGTTTGTGACCTTCTGTCAAGCAAAGTCAATGGGGAAACCAGATTCACTTTACAACCGTGTTGCTAACAACTGCAGTGATTCACTTAACAACTGTGGCACGAATGGTTGTAAAATGGGATGAAATTCACTTAATAACTGTCTCACTTAGCAACAAAAATTTTGGGCTCAGTCGAGGACTACCTGAACTGTAACATCACTTCCTGGTTGACTATTCCAGTTGTTTTTTTATCACAGTTTTGCCAGCAGTGAAATAATAGGCATGGAAATGAGAAATGGTGCATCAATTTGGTGTACAGATAGTCCTCGCTTAATGACTATCATTGGGACTGGCAAATCCATCACTAAGTGAGGCAGTCATTGCCACAGACCTACAACCTCCATTCTGCCATTGCTGTTAAGCAAATCATCCACATTGTTAGCCAAGCTATCATGTGACGATGATTTACAACTTTACATCCGGTTTCTCTATTAACTCTGCTTGTTGAAATCTGACTGGGAAGCAGGCAAATAATGATCACATTAACCACAGACTACTGCAAAGGTCAAACATTCCTGCTTTTTGTAAAGTGCCCAAATTTTAGTCATGTGCTATAATGGTCATAAAAGTGAAGACTAGTCAGAAAGTTATTTTTTTCAGCACTCTCATAATTTTCAGTGGTTGCTAAACAAGAACAGTTGTTAAACAAGGACTAACTGTAGTGATGAAGGTGATTGGAGTGGGGAGCACCAGGTTCAAATCCAGCCTCAGCTGTGGAAGCTGACTGGATGACTTTGGGCCAATATTATGCCTCTGCAGAGTTTGCATTCAGGTTGTTCTCATGGGAAAAAAAACTGCATAAATGTCTTGAGCTTCTCAAGAAACAGTGGAATCGCAAATAAATAATAAATATTACCATAATCCTTCTTGCAATAGTTCCTCAAGTTCATGTGGACATGTCTTTGTGGTGGTGTGCAATGGCTCTGACATTCGGTACCTGGTGAACAAACAACAAACAAACAGATGGGAGGGATAAATCATTCTTCTGGGCAATATCTGACCGCAGTTAAAACCTATTATTTATCTCATGTATTATTTTCATTAGAGCAAGATTAGGCAACCTGTTGTTCTCCTGGTATCTCAGATGCTATCTGGAGCTTATGGGAGTTGTTCGAAAAATGTTGAAAGCCCTGACCTAGCTGCCACCTGGATCACCTTGGAGCAAGAACCGTTTCCCTTGTACAATTCCTCCTACCAGTTCTCAAGTTGACTGTCAGCCCCACTAGACAGACCAGGCCAGGAAATCAATTTGAATGGATGGTTAAAACAGAACTGGCTATAAAGAATCTTGCAACTTCGTGCTGTAACTCTTCCCTTTTCCTATACTCCTGTGAATTAGGGAGGTGTTTGGGCTATTTCTGAACGTTATATGGACATTCTGGACTTAAAGAATGCTTCCACCCAGTGTTCTCAACCTGCGGTCCACAGACCCCTGGAGGGCTGTGATATCATATAGGGCAGTGATGGCAAATCTTTTAGAAACTGAGTGCCCAAACTGCAACCCAAAACCCACTTATGCATCATTGGGTGCCAGGTGGGTGTAGCCCATTGGGTGGGTGTGGCCCATTGGGTGGGCGTAGCTGCAGTGGTTACAGCAGATTGGGTGGGACTAAAAAGTTCAATCAATTCCAACTTTGCAAGATCTTTTTTTTCCCGCGAGAAGTTGAAATTGACTGATTGAACCTTTTTTTTTTTTGTAAACGGCGGTGGAGGCCTAAAGCAAAAAGATTTTATAAAACCCAGCTGAAGGTCTAGGACTGGGGCGACGGCACGCGTGACCACAGAGAGGGCTCTGAGTGCCGCCTCTGGCACCCGTGCCATAGGTTCGCCACCACTAATATAGGGGGTCCGCAAAGGCTTGAAGAAATGTTATGATTTAAATCTTGAGTTAAGTCTCGGGGGTTCGTGGCCATGCTCCATGGCCACAAAAGGTATTTAAAGGGGGTCCACAGTGAAGAAAAGGTTGAAAACCACTGCTTTAGCCTCTTTTATTTGACAACAAAGCCTGCATGGCTTTGTGAGCATCATCTTCCTTACTCTTTGCATTGACTGTAAAATTGTTTTCATTTTTTTTTAGAGATGAAAAGGGCTCTTCTTCCAGGGATGTGGATTTCCAACCCTTTTAAAGGAAAAAAATTAACTGATTTCCTTAGGAAAAGTAAGATAATATTTACACCCTCTCTTCTCACCTGCTTTCCATTCCTGAGGTGGTATAACTGTAGTTGTCATCTCCTCCTGGATTCCTAGGAAGGGTAAGATGTAGAATAATAGATTTGGTATTCCCCCCCCCCTCCTGTTGGGAGTTTCCATGATTTCACTAAGGACTGTTCACAACCCTCCCAAGTTGATCTTCATAGTTTTCAGCCTCCACGAAAAAGCTGAATACCAATCAAATGATTACAATAGACTGTAGCCTTTGCTCAACTTCCAGAAATCTTTCCTGCAAATTCCCCCCCCCCCCAGGCTGATGCTTTTGAAAGTGATATCGCCAGAAGCTCACAGCTGGACTGCCTGGCTTCCATGACATCAGTCCACTTGAGATGCAATGTCTGTGTGTATGCTATGCCCTATGATTACCTCATTCAGCATCCCTTCTCATAAAGATCGGGGTTTTACTGGAAAACATGAACTCACTTCCTGATTCATAATTGGGAAACAATACTTTATTCTATGGAAAGATGTGCTGGAAGAAGTGGGAAGGATTTGCTGTTAATCAGGGTTATGTGCCGCATGGAAAAAAGAAAGATACTTTATGTTTTTTATGTATGTGCGTGTGGAACAAAATTTATTTATCTATTTGCATCCCACCTTTGTTATTTTTATAACTCAAGGTAGTGAACATATCCAACTTTCCTTCCTCCTCCTCTTTTCCCTACAACAACAACCCTGTGAGGTGGGTTGTCAAGCACCTGATCACGTGATTGTGGGGATGCTGTGATAGTTGTAAGAGCAAAGACCTGTTGTCAGTCACTTTTTTCAGTGCTGTTGTAACTTTGGTTACTAAATGAATGGTAATTAAGGCGGGGACTACCTATATGGATATTTCTTTGATGAAATGAATAGTATCAAAAGAGTGACCTTTTTTTCCTTAAGAAAATGGTAATTTTGCATCGAAGACCAAATATAGACAAGGGCAGAATGAGATAAATTCAAGACACGTGGAATGATGAGTGGTTATTATCCACCATCCAACCTCCATCTTCAGAGATGGCCTATATTTGATTCGCAGATTTCTAATTTTGTATTATAAAACATAACTGTCTGCCATTCCTCCCAGGCACTTAGTGTTTGTATAGATGTTATTTCCCTCCTTTATTTGATCCGGACAACAGCCCTAGGCTTGTAAGATGGTTAGTAGCTGTAATGTATTGGCCACAACTGTTTTAAATCACTTGCTTAATGTCTGACCTACATTGCTGTATTGTTTAACAGTTGTTGTTACTGAAAGCCAGACGGGTTGTCTCCAAGCTGATAATGAGGTTGGGGTGGGAAACTGTTACTTAAACCTATTGGTTGACACCTAGAGGCTAACTCAGTGGTTCTCAACCTTTTTAATGCCGCGACCCCCAACTGGTCATAAGTCGAGGACTACCCAAGCGGTCGTAAGTTGAGGATTACCCAAGCGGTAGTAAGTCGAGACTTTCCCTGCTTGGGGGCACCGCACATGTGTGGTGCCTCCCCTTGTGCCGGCCGAGGCATAACTGGCAAGCGGCAGAGACGGAGCAGGCCGAGCTATGGCTGGGCCACCAGCTGGCCCAGCCCAAGAGAGGTAAGGCACCCATGCGTGCCAGCAATCCTCCCTGTGCCGCTGGCCTCCCACCTCCCACCCCTGGCCCTCTTTTACTTACATTTTTAGTAGTTGCTCAGCAGGGAGGGGTGGAAACTTCCAGACAGCTCGCCTTCACTGCAGACAACTTGCAGCACCGTTTGCAGAATGGGACTTTTGGCGGGCTCAGCAGGGCAGAGACAGCCTGGACAATTCCTATTGGCTTTTGAAAGCCAATAGAATTAGACTTTATTCAAGAGAGTCTATTCTATTGGCTTTCAAAAGCCAATAGAATAAAAGGGAGTAGCACATCTAAGGAAAAGGGTAAAAAAATGGTGGACTGCATTGTTTGGCGACCCCCGTGAAATGGTCGTTCGACCTCAAATGGGGTCCCAACCCACAGGTTGAGAACCGCTGGGCTAACTGTATAAATAGCTGTGCAGCAGACTTTAGGGCTGCTTCTGTTCTGAGTTAATAAACTTGTTTGCTGTTTCAACAATCTGCATTGTTCAATGCCTAAAGAACCTAAGATATAACAGTAGCCCAATTGGATTTTATGCTACAGAGGAGAGAGATTCCCAGTGGTATTTCTTCCCAGACTGGAGTCTAACCACAAGGGACCTCCATGGGGATTGGGGTAAAAAAAAAAAAATCAAGATAGCTGCTTTGGCTGTGTTATTGACATTCTAGTTCTTTTTTATGTGTGTTGCATGGCCCTGCTAACCACTCTGAAATGCTAAACAAAGATTTTTATAGAGTTCCCTGAAGCCTCCCCTGAAGGTTAGCAATTTAAGAAAAGGGAAACTAGAATCTGTAGATCTTGACCTCTTAGTTCTTCTTCCCTATTGACCCAAGGGGCAAAGGACACGCTCCATAACCTGATAGATGTATTGGGAGTCCCAATCCTATGCTTACCCAGGCATAGCGGTGTGTCACTTGGAAGGTGCCAGGATGGGGGAGGTTGCACTAAGGTGCTTCATTCTCAAATTGGCCCCAAGAAATGAATTGTCCAGGTGTGGACTGGGCTGTACCAAAAGGCTGACATGGAAGGAGGTTTAAGGAAGAAGAAAGCTTACGAATGCAGGGTATGTGAGCTCTGCGGCTTTGCTGGAAACCCTGGGCACATCGATTGCAGGTCAGGCCGGTGACGCCATTCTTGCACTGGCACTGTCCAGTGGTCTGGTTGCAAATGGCACCAGTTGCCCCAATAGGATGACACTGGCAAGCTGGAAAGAAAAAAGAGGAGAAGCTATGGAAGGAGAATATGTACTTGGCCATCTCCACAATAATCTATCAATCCTGACTTTTTTTAGTTAAAAGGTGTGTGCCTTTTACAGGAATGCAAGCTTTCTCAATGCTGTGACTTTAAGAGAGAAAGCTCCAAAACTCCCTCTCTTGACCATAGTGTGGATTCACACATCAGAGTAAGCCATGGTTTTGCTTTTTAACCATGATTTGCTGACAAGCCACAGTTGCCTAGATTCAAATGCCTATATTCAAATCCATCTCCAATGGATTCCTTCAACCTGCTAGGTCATAAACAAGCATTAACAACTGAGCATAGAGGATGGATAACAGCAAAATTAAAAGAAAAAGTTTCCTAAAGAACACATCCTAGATTTTTTTCTCAATGGAATCCAAAAAAGAGCTACCATAACAATCCTCATCCCCTTCACCATACTACATTTCCCAAGGAAGGCCTGGTCATTACATCAACCTTGGAGACAAGTTTCAAAGCAAGGGAATAAGCTTGAAGTATTTAGAAGGCAACTCAACAGGCCTTCACAGAAAATATTAATAGTGCAGAGAGCGGGTTTTTTGTTTTTTTGTTTTGCATTGTAACCATTGCAAGCCTTATTCAGATGACTTTGATTCTCTGTATACACTCCAGGGTGAGTCCAGGGGGTTGAAAAAGTTACAATGGTGGCCATAACCATTTGATTAAACCACACCTCATTTTAAGAGGTGTCATTACTCTATAAAAAATGGTGAGGCTTTGATTGTATGGACCCTTTTGGGATCCTCTCCTTTTTTTGAAAATTTCAGGGAGCCTTATAAACTTACTGACCCCACACTTTTAGTTGAGTGTTCGAGTATCACAAATTTCACATCCCAGGGAGGATAAGAGGAGACTGCTAAATCAATTTTTAGTTTTTTTGCAATGGCGCCCCTCTCTTTTCCAGGAATATGCATTGTAACCCTTTTCCTAAGCATGATGGAGACAAAAACTCCATCTTATGAACAATTAGAGAATCAGTTTGTTCTAGTGGTTCAGGCACCAGGCTAGAAACAAGGAGACAGTGAGTTCTAGTTCTATCTTTGGCTTGACAGCGGGCTGGGTGACTTTGGGCCAATCACCAGGAGACAATGAGTTCTAGTCCCACCTTAGGCATGAAAGGTGACTGGGTGATTTTGGGCCAGTCACTCTCTCTCAGTCCAACCCACCTCACAGGATTGTTGGTCTGAGGAAGATGGGTGTAGGAAATGATTAGGCTGAGCCAGAGAGAGGGATCAAATGTGTCATCGGTCTTTATTCCCTTTATGCCCAAGAGATCTAAGTCCAGCCCATCTTGAATTCCATTGACTTTTATTTACTGCCTATTTGCTTTGACCATTAGTAGTTCAGATTCTTGTAGAGAGGATAAGTCTGCAATAAACTTTTATATTCACTTGAACTGCATGGACTTCCTGATTTTCCCATGCTTCACAATGGGCAGTTAAGAAATACGAAAACTAAATAAAATATAAAATAATATAATATAAAATAAAAAATAATAAAATAAAAATAATATAATATAATATAATATAATATAATATAATATAATATAATATAATATAATATAATATAATATAATATAATAGGAGGAGGAAGTAATATTAGGTATGTTTGCCGCCTTCAGCTACCTATAAAGTAATAAAGGCGGGATAAAAAAAATCCCACAATGACAAAGTTGTATTTGCAGGATAGGGTCAAAAAAGCCATAACTGTATGATTGAAGCTCTGCTCTTTTTTATAAGTGACACCTATTCCTTGCACATAAAAAGGGAGCAGGCTTCGATCAGATAGGCAAGGCCGCCATCTTGACTTGTTTGAACCCCCTTCTGTGGTCCCTCCTGGCAAGGATGCTCTGGGTTTCAGGACCTGACCCACCTTTGCAGGCTCTGTGGCTGGTGATGGGATGGCTGAGGTCACGCTTAAAACCTGGTGAGCAATACTGACAGTGGCGCCCGGCTGTGTGGTGGCGACAGTTCAAGCAGATCCCCCCACTCTGGCGCCCTGAAAGTTCAAAAAGCTCTATGCTGAAGCGGCAGCGATGGGAATGGCGGTGGCAGTTGCAGGCTGAGGACACAGGAAGGTGGTTCATCAGTTCAGGCAGCTTTCTCCGTCCATGCCCAAAACCTCTTTCCACCCCACCTCTGGACCGCCACCAGTATGCCCAGCCCTCCAAGCCAAAGGGGGTCCAGAGGGGCAGAATGGGTCAAAAAATCCAGATCCTGGTTGCTACAAGGTGATCAAACCCAGTAATTTTTTTTACATACATTGTGCAGCTACATAGGTTAAGCTCCCTCTGCCCTGACCTTTGTGACCTTTCAGTAATGTGTTTTTTTTCCCCAACAGACCTGGGTATCCCCTGAGGAGAGAGATCACATGTGCTTGTTGCCTTAGTGGTTGCTGATTCTAACTTTCTCACAATCTTGTTTTTATTCATGTTTAATAAAGGTAATTGTTTTAAGAGATCTATAAAACAGGCAGTCCTCGATTTATAACCATTCAAAGTTACAACAGCACTGAAAAAAGTGACTTAGGGCAGTCCTGGCACTTGCAACTGTCAAAGCATATTCCCTCAGTCATATGGTCAAAATTTCTGCACTTGGCAACCAGCATGTATTTATAACAGTTGCAGCATCCTGCGGTCAACCGATCATCACTACATGCGATGACTACTGAGAGGCAGAGTCAATGAGGGAAGCTGAATTTGCTTAACAACCGCATGATTCAATTAATAACTACACTGATTAGCTTAATAACTGTGGCCCAAAAAGGTTGTAAAATTGAGCCTGACTCACTTAACAACTGCCATGCTTTGCAACAAAAATGCTGGTTCCAATTGTGGTTGTAGACTGAGGACTGCTTGTATTGGCAACATGGGGAGCAATCAAACTTAATAAGTACATAATACACACATGTGTTAGAAGGGTTGCCATATAAATTTGATAAATATCTAAATAATAAAGAAATAAATAGGGCCAAGCTTTGATCATATCACAACCATCCTCTGACTTTTTTTAAAAACCGTTTTCCCATGAAAAATCCTCCAGTGTTAGGAATTTTTATCCCCACCAAAAAAAAAAATAAAAAAATCAAATGCTTTAAATCAGGGATCCCCAACCCCCGGTCCGTGGACTGGTACCGGGCTGTGGCATGCCAGCAACCGGTCTGCACAAACAAGCAAAGCCCCATCTGCAGGATGCAGGCAGCACACAAAACCACACTCTCTCTGATCCACGGAAAAACCTCTCTCCATGGAACCAGTCCCTAGTGGCCCAAAGGTTGGGGACCTCTGCTTTAAATGATTAGCAGTTCACTGCTTGTGGGTACCAAGAAATCCTTGGTGTCCCTAAGTGGCATCAAGGGAATCCTCAAATAAATTGAAAAGTGGATTACAGTGTTTTTAAAAAAGGGTGTCAACGCTGCTAACATTGGATGTTCTTGCTTTGACAACATATGAAGATGCAACCTTTTTCTTTCTTATACTTTACTCTTAGAATTAGATGATGCTGGGGGAGGAGGAGGAATGTGGTGGGAGTTAGAGTAACAATATTGTACTAGTGTGTGAAATAAGAGTTGATAAGAATTGGCGGTAGCAGAGCAGGAGGGAAAGCCTGCATTTCAAACTAATTGGACAATATGATTTATGACTGTTAATTGAAGGAGGGAATTGTGCTTTGATACTATGTGCTCAGGGGAGGGGAATCCAGTTTTTGGCTTCAACTATGTTAGTGCTGAAGCTATGCTACTCCGATAAAGATTCTTTAAGGTAAACAATGCCTCAAAGTTCTTTGAAGAGTTTTATCTGTCGGAACCATGACAAAGGGCCATTTCACAAGATTTCAGTGTTTTCACTTGAGATCTTATCTTTATCCAAATAAAGATGCTAGATTTTATGTGGTTTTGGTGAAATTGCTGACCTCATTAAATTTTGGACTTAAAAAAAAAAACAAATTGGAGACAGTCCAGCAATGATCCTAAAAATGCCTGAAAAGATTGCTCTAAAATTTTGAAGGCCAAATTGTCACACAATTTTGGTAGAACTACAACCCAATTTGGCCATTCTTCTTTTTTTTGAAGAGTGGGGGGAAATCTCTTAAAATGCAGAGAATTCATGAGATGTTGGAAATTCTTTTTAAAAATTATTTCTGGGGATCTGAAAAGATGGCCGGACCTGTCCTAAACAGATTAACAGCAGGATTGATTTTTTTTTCTGAAAAGCTTTGGAAAAGTGCCCATGGCAAAATCTTTCTAGCTTCAGGCTGGGAAGGACCATATGCAAATGGGACTTTATTTCTGTAGAATTCCAAAGAGCAGATCCCAGCTCTGGACACATAATGTTCTTAGCCATGGTTGCCCTATCTTCCCCACAGTCTCACCCACACATTCATGAGCATCTTTGGGGGTTGCCCTTTGCCAGGGCCTATCCCAGTGGAAGGTTTTGCAGAGGTCACATTCAGGGCCGGCTGTGTTGTGCTGACAATCACACTGAGATATCCCTCCATCTTTCCCAGCTGTGCACCGCGAGGCATGTCCATTGCATTTACATCTGCCTCCAACCTGCAGCTCAGCTACTCCAGAGGAGGCCTCTTTCCTGCGCAACCCCAGAGTCCGGGTTGAATGCATGCGGTCAAAGGACATGCGGAGGTCAGTAGCGGTCACCCAGTCCTGGAGGACAGGACTATACTCGAACCGCTGGGATGAAGGGCGGCCTGCAAGAGGCATGAAGGCCACCAGCCCTCCGGTGAGGGGCTTGAGTGCTGTTTGAGCCTCAATACAAACTGCTTCATGCTCCATGCTTTTCACAATGGTGGTGGTTGGGGGCAGATGATAACGCTGCCAACAGTGGCTGGAATAGAACTGAAAAGGCACCCAACTGCGACCATAGTCCATAGACTTGTAAATGGCCAAAGATTCTGGTCTTGGGGAGCAGAACCTCAGAGCCACGTAAAGGATTTCCATTCGCCGGCCTAAAGCCAAAGTAAGCGTGGCATTGGCTCTTGGCTGAGACCACCAACACGTCGTATCCCCGTCACTGTCTGTGAGTTGCTCTGACTGGTGGGTATGTTCTTGGCAACCTTGGCAGAATTTGGAGGTTGGGTTGGTTGAATCCCGAAAGGTGCAGAATCGCCCAGGAGGACTGCTGCATGTACTGGAGGCTTCCACCTGACGGCCTGATGCCAGTTCGGACAGCTCAGGCAGGCAGTATTGTGGGTGCTGGTTGGCATTGTAGCAAGGGTCATGAGGGTCGGGAGTTTGGCCCAGAAGGAACGGAAGGAAAACTGCAACACCCCATGGGAAGTGAAGCATCTCTGGGGAAAGGCGTCTGGATTCAACAGCTCATCACCTGGAAGATGAAAAGATAATAGCTGACATAAAAAATAGAGCGATGGACAAGACATTCTGTTCTTCCCTGCCCCCTCTTTCCTATTTTCTACCTATTGTTTCCAAAAACAATAGAGGGAGAGAGAGAGAGAGAAGCAAGCTAAGGCTCATGTGATAAAGATGTGAGACTACGAGACTATGACGCTGAAGATGTTTGATCATAATAAAGCTCCACAAATTTGTGCTGGTTGAGGAGTTCAGCTGCCATAATTCCCAGCCAACGTGGCCTTCATCTCCTATCTCTGACATTTCAAGCATTCTGTGGGTGGTCAACACTAGTATGGCGATCAATGCACATGGTTTTCTCACTTCCAAAGTTGTTAAAGCACCTGCTCTGGGCTCTCTGATCATTTGTACCATACTAATTCACACACATGAATGTCTCCCGCTGTCTCTGATCTCAACAACTTTCTCTAATTGAGAACATAAGCCCAAGAGCCAAGCAGATGAGGATTTAATGAGCATGAGTAAATAGCTTTCAACTCTCTTTTCACAGTTGAGGCATGGATGGGAATTGGCCCAATGCAAGGGCCTGGGAGGTGGGTGGGGTGGAGGAGTCAGGAGAAACCACAGAAAGGGATAAACAAGGAGAAATTGCTTTTGGTCCTACGTATGTTGGAAAAGATGCTTTGACCATTCTAGGAGAAATAAAAGGTGAAAAGAAACATTGGATTAAGGAATAACCATTTGTGCATTATGATAATTTGAAATTCTTAATTTTGTCTGCATTCTAGCATGCTGGAAGGTTGAGTTTTTCTTCTGCAATTCTGGACTAAAAACATGAGACAATGAGAGATTTAGAGGAACAGAATCTCTTATCAATTGAACATTCCCTGGGTCTCAGAGAGATACATTCATAGCAATGCCCAAGTTTGGGAAGATGTGTCCTTCAAAGAAGAAAAGTCATGGATTCTGCACATTTTCTTACCTAATAGTGCAGCTTTCATGTTCTGGCTGTGTTCACATGCAACATACGTTGCTTAATTATGGTTTGTTAAATAAACCACAATTGACAGGTCAAAGCAATACCTTAAGCCAAAGTTAGAAAAGAAATTCCCAACATTATGCCTTAGTGTAGTCTATGACCCAGTTTCTATAATAGATTTTTAAATAAAGCTATATTTTGGTTTTGTGTAATATTGCCTCTTGTCAAGTTACCAGATGCAGACGTGTTTAGGGCTCCTGTAACATGTCCCAAATATTTATCCTCAGTAGTTTTTGACCCCAACTATTTATCACTTGTAATAAATGGTGTAATGAAGTGGCAAGCTAGGAGAAAATCATTTAAATCTCTTCCCCCAAAAAGCTGAGGAATCCTGGCTTATCCAGTGCTTGCAAAACTCATTAAATCTACCATTGATATGATAAGGTGCAATTCAAATAAGTGCTTTACCTACAGTAGCACATTAAAAATAGATGCAGTTTGTCTTGCTTAGATAAAAAATAGCTTAATTGATGGGATTTTTTTTCATAGTGCCAGGCAGTCCTCGACTTATGATCACAATTGGGGTGGTTGTTAAATAAGTCACAAATGATTTTATGACCTTTTTTTGCCATGGATTGTTAAAGGAATCACTGCAGTTGTTAAGTGAATAACATGGTCATTAAGGAAATGTAGCTTCCCCCTTTGACTTTGCTTTTCAGAAGCCAGCTGGGAAGGTCACAAACAGTGACCACATAACCATTTGCTGCAACAGTTTAGAAGAAACTGGTTGCCAAGCACCCAAATTTTGATCTTGTGACCCTGGGACAATTGAAAGTGCCACAACTGATTGAAAATCACTATTTTCAGTGCCATTGTAACTTTGAACAGTCACTAAATCAATAGTTATATGCCAAGGTCTATCTGTACTGCCTTTTCATGCCTTTAGATAGTTTTTACTTAAACACCTATCTTATGCATAACCCAGAGAGATATTCAAAGGTAATTTTAGTGTCATTTTCCAAAAATACAGCGTGAGAAGCAATGAAACAGCCATATACCTGTAAATCACATAATCTCTGCATCTGTCTTGTAAAGATAACTCCAAATCGAGCTTTAGCAAAGCAGTTAATTAAGGGGTGGGCTGAGTCTCCCCTGGAGGCCTAGCAAGTCTAATCTTTGGTTTCTTCCCCCTTGATAGGGGATCATCATTGCAAGAGAGAAACGTGATGTCTCCAGCGTGCCCATTGCTAATTGCCTGAGGGGGGGGTTGCTTGTAGGACAGTGATGGCGAACCTATGACACGCGTGTCAGTGCTGATACGCGTAGCCATTTGGGGTGACACGCGCAGGATTTCATGTGATTTTATGCAATTCATCCTCGGCTCCTGCACGCCGAGGATGAAAGAAATTTTTTTTTTTTGTTTTCGCCACGGAAGAGAAATCACCACGGATACCTGGCGGGTCACCAGGTTATGTGGGACTCGAACCCACTAAAACTCTCCCATTATGACTACCGCCACCCTAGAGCAACCGTACCACTACAGCCTTGGATCCAGGAAGGATGAAAGAAATACGCTCTGTGCTGGAGGAACGGGGGGCGGGACGTGTGATCTCCCCCACCCACACTCACTCATTCACTGTGTCCCCGACGCAAACTTCAGCCTGCGCCGCCACTGACTGACAGGCAAGCACAGGCACAGCCCCTTTATCAGCGCAGGGGCTGCTGGTAAGGCGTGCGTGCCGTGCGCACACACTTCATCAGCATGGCTGAGAGTACGTTAGGGAGGACCCCCAGGAGAGGAGCGCAGGAACAGTGTGCGCCTTTCTCCAGTCAGGCCGCAATTAGTGAGTGCCACACAGTAAGGGGGACCTGTGAGCGCCATTAGCAGCAACTGTTGGGGTGCCATGGACTTGTAATTGCCCACAATAACTGAGATAAGTGAGGGGGAGGCTGTGTTAGGCTAGTTAACCCCTAATTGGCTAACAAGCTATCTATAATTCTATCTGCTGTCACTGGCCCACTGATGGAGCACCCAAAAAATAAAAAACAAAGGTTAAGTAAAGGGAGTGGTAGTAGCAGTGGCCGACCCTTTCAAGAGACATGGAGCGAGATGTATGGTATTATAGAAAAAAATGGCAGATCATTTTGCGTTCTATGTACTGAAACGGTAGTAAGCAGAACGTGGAATATAAATAGACATTTTGAAACTAATCATTCCCAGCTCTTGGAAAAAAGTGAGGATGAAAGGAAGGAATACATTTCCAGGAAGCTACACCTTTATAAGAGCCAATCTAACTCCATCCTTAAATTTATAAAAGGCTGTACAAATTTAACATCTGCAAGTTTGAGCATTGCTCACTCCATAGCTCAGCATGCAAAAGCACTTAATGAGGGAGAATTTATTAAAGAAACTCTCCTAAGATGTGCGCCACTTCTATTTCACGATATGCAGAATAAAGATGCAATTATTAAGAGAATATCTGAGTTACCACTCAGTAGAAATATCATAAAAGACCGAATAATGAGACTGAACACAAACGTACAACATCAATTAAAGAGAGACATAAGGAATTGTAAATATTTTTCCATCTGTCTTGATGAAACTACTGATGTCATGTCACATGCTCAGTTGGCCATTATTGGTCGATATTCTGGTAGTCACACAATGAGAGAAGAGTTGATAAAGTTAGTATCAGCTCCAACAAGTACATCAGGAAGCGAAATATGTAAGGTTGTTATGCAAACATTCTGCGACCTAAGCATTGATATCTCTAAAGTTGCGTCAGTGACGACAGATGGTGCCCCAAATATGGTGGGTAAAAAAGTTGGATTTGTGAAATTGTTTACAGAAGCTATTGGACATCCGATTGTGCCTTTTCATTGTATTATCCATCAGGAGGCTTTATGTGCCAAGGCAGGATTCACTGACTTAAATGTCTTAATGTCAGTTGTTACAAAAATAGTTAATTTAATAGCTGCTCGCCCCCTTCACAAGCGAGAATTTTCAGCACTTTTACTGGAGGTTGATTCCACCTTTAGTGGACTGCTGATGTACAATAATGTAAGATGGCTGAGCCGAGGCAAGGTTCTTGAGCGCTTTGTGGAGTGCTTTGAAGAAATTAAGATATTTCTTGAAGATAAGGATCTGGGAAATTTTCCTCAGCTCAATGATGATAAGTGGGTCAACACCCTGATGTTTTTTACAGATCTCTCTGTTCATGTTAATGAAGTTACAAGGTTTTGGCAAAAGTACTGATGTTATGTTTGGATACATAAAAGCTTTTGAAAGTAAAGTAAAATTTTTCAAGCGAGATGTAGAAACTAAAACGTATAAGTATTTTCCTCGAGTACAAAAGCATTTTGAGAAGGCCAGTGCAGCTGTACGAAATGAAGTGGAACTCTTGCATATGAAGTGCCAGCATGTTTTAGACTCGTTACTTGACCAGTTTACTGATAGATTTAGTCAATTTAGAAGCCTAGAACAGACCATGAGAATAATTAAGTATCCTGATGTAGTAGTCTACAATAGTTTGGAATTAAATGGTTTCCAATGGACGCAAATAGATGATTTGGAGATGCAGCTTGCAGAATTTCAAGACAGCATCTGAAAGGGGCCACTTGGAGAATCAAGATGAGTGCCACTACGAACAGGAAATTTGGAGTGCCTGGAACAGACTACCAGACACTTTTAGCACCCTGAAAAATATAGCAACAGCTTTACTCACAATTTTTCCTTCTACGTACTTTTGTGAGACCTTATTCTCAGCATTAAATAATATCAAAACCAACA